ATGCTTTGGAAGTAACTTGGCATTTTTCAGCAAAATATCATCGAAAATTAAGTCAACTGGCACCGAGCATTGGGTTTGGGGAGTTAAATGCCGGAGGGAAACGCGAAGATTTGATAACAGAGACTCGACGAAAATGACTTGGGGTCTTTGATAACGAAACCACGGGCGCTGAAAGAAAGAAACTGGATGTTTGATGAAAACTGTCTGTGAACAGAAGAGGGGTGCATCGTAAAGTTTTAAAAATGTTTGCACAGTAAGCTGTCGAAATCTAGCATCAAGTGGAATGATTCTAGCTTCCAAACAAATAAAGCACGCTATTCGCGACACACCTAGGTAGCCCGAGACACTGCCGCAGAGCTTGCCTTTCTAGCAATATAAGAGGTCTTAATTTGTACTCAGCACTTCCAGAAAACAGAACGCAGCCAAACTCCAGAATTGGGCGTACGTAAAGTTTGTATATCATAAGTAACGTATCCCTGCGCATCCCTGAATTCTCATTGCAGAACCGGCGGAGCAATCCTCCGGCGCTTTCTGCTTTACGGGTGTTTGATTCTATTTGTTGCTGCCAATTTAAATTGTCCACGTAAACAATACCAAGATATTTTAGCGCTGTTACTTGTGGAATCGGATCATTTCGATAATGCAGTGAAAGAAATACGGGAACGGATAGAGGGAATACAAGCAGAGCACATTTGCTCACATTAAGTGAAAAAGACAGCCCGCCAAGCCATACCTCAAGCTCACTCAAATATGACTGTAAGATTTGCTACAAACTATTGATATCTCGGGATGACGAGAAAAAAGCAATATCATCGGCGTAGACGTAAAGAGGAACATTTTTATGAACGGGAAAAGATGATAATAATATATTAAATAAAATAGGTGACAGGACTGATTTTTGCGGAACACCTCTTGTTTGCTTATATGAGGCAGAAGTAATTCCCTCGTGGCAACAAAAGAATTGTCTCTCAAAGAGAAACTCCTGAACCCAAGATATAATGTACTTGGGAACCTCACAGTCCACTAATCTTGAAATTAATGTACTGTATTCCACATTATCATAGGCTTTTGCGATATCTAACGTGACTAATGAAAGCTCACCAGATACTTTTGCAAGGCGAATTCGGCTTTCCAAATCAACATGAGCCGACCATAAAGAGCACCCCTGTCTAAATCCTACTTGCCTTGGTGAAAGGATGTCCTGACGAGCGATGAATTCACTGAGCCTTCTATGAAGAATTCTTTCAATTATTTTAACTAGGTTTGAAGTAAGCGAAATTGGCCGAATGTTATCCAGGACATATCCAAGGCTTGGATTTTTTCGCAGCAACACAATTTTAGCAATTTTCCATGCGCTTGGAATCCATGTGCGCTGTAAGGAGCAGTTAACAATATTCAAAAGCTCCTCGGGATGGGAATTAAATATCAATTTAATCATAGAGTTTGTAATCTGATCTGGACCGGGAGCTGCTTGCTTCACAGTTGGTATGACATCTGCCAGTTCAGCCGTAGTGACTTCCCGAAAGTCCGAGGTTGCGCTTTTGAATGTCACAGGTCTCAAGCATGACGAAGCGAAACGCGCTTCAAATCCTTTCGCGATGCCCTCTAACAAATCTGTTGTCTCTTTAGGAGACAGCACTACTGAATGCGAATATGCTTGTACCTTCGTCGATTTTTTGTTCCGTAGAAACCTGTACAGGGCAGATCTTTTATCAGGTTTTGATAAACGCGAATGTAAGTCAGAATTGTGTTTATCTTTAGCTATTGCAACTGTACGTTTAAACAGCGCTGCGTGGAATTTATAGTCAACCCAATTTTTCGGAGTATGGTTGTGGCGTAAACGTTTCCAAGCAGCCTTACGTCGCCTATACGCAAGCGTACAATCTTCATTCCACCAAGCTGAATTTGACGGTGTGCTGCCGTACTTAACAGAAAACTCTGCCGGCTGGACAGAGTCACTTAGACACGCTACGACTGAAGCAGCTCGTTGCTGTCCGACGCGTCCTCTCAATGACGAGAGCGCGGAGTTTAAAACAGTTTTATAAATTTTATAGCTGGTGAACCGTTGTTGCCGGATAGCAGAGGTAAGTTGTGGTAGCATTATTTCATAGGTAGTTGGTACATGATAACTACTCGTCCCATTATCAAACGTTTCCCACGATGAAATCATAAACTGGCCACACGAAAATGTTAGGTCTAATGTTGATGAGCTTATCCCGCGTAGAAAGGTAACTTGTCCAGAGTTATGACAGCGAAAATTATTATCCTGCAACCAATTCCACAATCTTTTGCCACAGCCATCTGTTTTAAGCCCCTAAGAAGTGTGATGCGAGTTAAAATCCCCAGCCAATAAAATTGAATTTGACGAAGAATTCTTGATAACACAATCTAGGTGATCTGTGCGTCTTACTCCATTCGGAAAGTACGCATTAATCACTGTAATCCTGTTGGAGTCAGGGAACAAACAATCTATTCCTAACAATTCACAATCCGGACAAATATGTTTAAAAGTTACAGTAACATGATGACACATTTTTGAAGATATTAGAACCAATAATCCACCTTCTCTACCTGGCCGATCCAGTCTAAAAGTTCGAAAATATTTCAGAGTAAATGTTTGGTTTACTGAAAGCCAAGACTTTTGAAGTAAAATTATATTAGGATTTGTTTGCTGTATGAGATAAATAAGATCTATGTAAGCGGAAGATACGGAGCGACAATTCCACTGAAGAACTTTTACATGCGCTATGATGGACTTAATATAGTTGACTCTACTGCAGAACGCAAAACGTCCTGCTCATTGTTGGTATCAGTAATAACTTTTTTTTGGTTTTGACATTCGCAAACTGGTTGGAGACAATGGAGCATTGCGTCGTTTATGAATGATATTACCAAGCCTCATGTCACCAAACGACCCACTGGGCCCCACAGGGGTCGGCGACTGAGTGCTGACGAGCGTTTCAGGGGTAACATCTTCTTGACGCTGATTATTTTGTTCATTGTCGAGGTGCTCAGCTTAATCCTGGACCGTGACAGTGTGTGCAGCGAAGGAGGTAATAAGGCTGTTTAACCTGGCGGCGAGCATATCGGTCAGACCTTCAGCAAAGGTGTTGAAAAGCCGTTCCATAATCATCGGCATGGCCTTATCTATCGCTGCCGACACTGCGGAAGCGACCGTCGCTTCAATTGACCCTCACTGGCGTGACATAGCAGCAGCGTACCCCACTTCACGCTCTTTAATGAAGGAAGTTGCCTCAGACCGAGAACAACGGCGTTTCTCCATTATATCTAGAATTTGTGTTTCACGTTCTCGAGCAGGGCAGCTATTGTCCGTGGCTGTGTGTGCTCCATCACATAGGCAACACCTGCAGTTGTCTACCTGACAATTTGATGCGGCATGTGCCCCACCGCAATTCACACATCTCAATGAGGACCTGCAAGCATTAGCGCTATGTCCAAATCGCCAGCAGTTACGGCATTGCAGTGGGCGAGGTGTCAATGCCTCTACACGGAATAGATAAGGCCAGGCCTTCAGCTCAGAGGGGCGTGTGAGACCAGCAAAGGTAACGATGACGCTTTCAGTAGGGACTCGCGTATCACCTACAGGTCTGGTGCATCTGTAGACAGATGTCACGCCAGCCGGAGAGACCATCTTTAAGAATGCTTCAGGACTAATGTTAGTTGGAACACCACGAACAATGCCCTTCACGCAAGCAAGATTAGGGGGGATAAAAGCGCGAACAGCAATGAACGCAAATCTCGTGGCGGCCAGTAAGTCTGTTAAGCATTGAATATTTGAAGACCTGCATAGTATGCCAGTCTTGCCGAAACGCCTCACCTCCGAGATGTCCAGAAAATGACCGCTTATGTTGCGAAGTTCTTCTTGGAACACCTCCGTTTCACTCAACTGAATGGTTCCACCATCAGTGGGCACAAGCGCGACAGGCAAACTGTTTACGCCGTTCTTGAGGAAACACTCCAGTGGTACCGATTCAGCAGGGCGACTGGCCGACCAGGGCGAGCCCTGGCCGGGGCCGGAGACCGGCATTGATGGCTCCTGAAAAATCAGCAAAAAGAAATTCTACAGCTAATAAAGAACCAAAGGTGATGAGTGTGGCCAATCCCCTCTCACAGACCGTGCAATCGAAAGCGCCAACCAATCTTGGTCCGCCAAGTGATGCTCGCGCTAAAGAATCGGCCGATTTTTCCTTCTTCGGCCCGATGAGGCCTTCGAAACCTCATAAAATGTGAAAATTGACCATCAGGGACGATGGAGTTGCAAGGATTCACCGCCTAATGACGTTATCACGACGTCATAGATTGGCAAAATTTGTGACGTGGACTTGACGCAAATCCTGACATCACATGATCACAAAGTCGGTAAACAACCACGTTGACCACGTTAGGTGTTCTGTGGTTACGCTCAGAAACCCTTTGGAGGTAGGCGGGAGAGGATCAATACATCGTCTGAGAAGATAAATACTAGAAGGATATAATAAAATAAGAAAAAAAACAACATTAAATCATCCCATAGCATAAAAACGATGATGGATTTCGCCTTCGAATCGGCTTAGGCGAATGCATACGAGACCCCATGAGTTTTATTCGTCAGCGCCCGTGTGTCGCCATCCCTTTATGTGTTATTTTGGGATGCGTGCTGTTTATGCTTCGTGGTGTTGATCAACGAAGAAGCTCGAAGTGTTACCCGAATCCCACTTAAGTAAACCAGGGCAATTGTGTAATTTTGAAAGAAACACGTCATGACCGCACTTGGACTTTCGAAACCGAAACCTCATCAACTGACAGACAAAAAAGAACACAATATTTTATCAAATACAGTTGTATGCACTTACACATGCACAAAAACTAATTTTCTCAAAAAGTTGCATTGTGTGGCATTGATTTATTAAATCAAGAACAAAACGTAATTCAAACACGTCTTCCAGTTGGTGTTTGTGGCGGCATCTGTAGTCGAAAAGCTGTAACGTCGAGATGAGGGAAATTCCAGTCCTAGCGGCGAACAGCGCAGTGCAGTAACATTGGTTTTGCAGGGACGTCACTAACCTGCGTACGTGATTTCTAAAAGGTGTTTATCGGTAAGCAAACTGCGCTCCCAATGTCGCGGATGATGTAATTATGTATGCACGCTCACTGTCATTGACGGCTCCTTTTGTTTCTCCGTGTAATCGCTGCAGTTTCGCTGAAGTAATCCTCGAGGACACGACCTCGTAGTGAAATGGTGGGTTTTAAGCGTAGCGTGATTTCATTTGGGCTTGAAGTGGTCTTGTTACACTCTTGTCACACCTTAATTATCCTTTCTTACTAATTTCATCGTCGAACACCTTCGAAAGCACCATGTTTTAGCGTGTCATGGTGCCTAATGTAGCGTGATGCGCACAGTTTTGTTCGTAGACGATAGACCTTTCGACATACACTGACATGTTGTACACCTTGCAATAATGTTCGTTTTTCCCCCCCTTCTTTTGCAGTAATCGGATTAAACGTCATATAAATCAGCCCTCTAAAGGTACGTGTCCAGCTTTCGTTTGCATTTTGTATGGCGAATCATCCGATTGTCCTCACCTTTGACTTTTTGGACCTCGTTTTCTTAGCACAACCGTTTTACTTCCAGATGCACAGGCTACCCCGAAGAGTTGTTTACTGTCAGTATCGAAGCACTGTTAGAGCGCAAAGCCACAAGCGGTTCTCTTCTAGTTCGTCTTCTAGTTCTCTCGCAACAAAGCCTGTTGGAAATGAGACGAAAGGTACGATCAGAAATTTTCTTTTAGTCAAGCAATAGCCAAATCACTTGTCTGCTATCTATGCGTAGCGCGGCGCTCGCTTCATATTGTGATCTAAATATATGGGCGCATTCTCATCGATTGATTTGCTACATTTTGATGTGCTACGTCAAATCGTACGATTAGTTTAGTTTTCATCCAAACACGATCAGCTGTGACCGTAATTATAAGGGTGGCGTTGTAGATGTCGAGTACAGTGAACAAATAATTTCGCATTCCTAATCGCCTACTTTCTTTGCTCCTACGTGAAGTTAAACCAGCCTAGAAGCGCTAAAAAGAAACAAAAAACAATACTCGCTGCCTGGTCATTGCTTACCAACGTAGAACACTTCTGACAAGTTCAGAAGAATATGAAGCTTTTTTTATTTAGATTTAACTCTAACATTTTCACACTGACTTGCTAGTTGCGGTGACATGGAGGCAAGGCATTCCTTGATCTAGTAGCATAGAAGTCTCAGGTAAACTATTAGAAATATGTAGACACAATTCAAGGGTGCATAATACAAAGTGCTGTAGTATCTGAGACATAAACGAAAGGTAAAGAACCCCGGGTGGTTGGTTTCACCAGAGATACTCCAGTAAAACATCTATTGCATAGCTGTAGAACCCACCTTATGTCCTTGCTCGCAGTACCTATGAGAAAGCATTAACTATTGCTTCAATGTATCACTCGCTGTATTCCATGATCTTATATGTCCCAGCAACATGTTGCAACAGTCATGCCTTACTAAACTTACCATTGCTTGCTTACAAAGCTCTGTTTATATGTAAACATATATGATAACACTTATCGTTCACTGCTTTTTTGTGAGCCCAAATATTAGTACAAATTAGTGACCCCCCCCCCCCCCCCCCACACACACACACATATTGCTACACTTTATGAAGGAGTATTTAGTTTTTCTTTCACTTAACTTATATAATGGTCGATATTTGAAGCATTGATAGGCATCTCACTGAGGCATTAAACTAGTGTACTTGGCAGCTTGGATGCCTGAACAGTTGGTTGTACCAGAAATATGCATTTGGATAAATGATGCTTGTTAATGTCTGTAAGTAAATAAATTTTACGGCTGTGTTAAGTTGCTTGATATTTAGTAATCGTAACCTTAGAGATAGATACATGAAGGAACTCCCATGGTAATATTATTCTCAATGAGCTTTTATTTGTGAATACTGTGACATATTTAGAATTTAGATGCTAACTGCTAAGCAAAGCGGAGCCCTCCTGTTGTGACATGTGTGCTTTCTTTGGTGTTTGAGTGATGAAGGAGCTCACGTTGATAAGTGGCTAAATTGGTTGTCAGATTCCTTCTCGAACCACATTTTTTTCTTGATATCTTTGTTCATTTTGCAGAAGACCAGGGAGCTAGCACCATCCGTAATGGCCGTGAGATCTCACTCTTTGGGCCCAAGGACTTGAGGGTGCCCCTTCCAGGCAATGTAGGCGTAGTGCCAATAGACTTTGGCGCGACCCCAGTAGCACCCGAACGCCCCAAGACGTGCGATGTGCTCTCCAGGGAGACCAACTCCGAGCGCTACCACAACATTTTGGCGCAGTTCCTCAGTCCACCTGAAGAGGTGAGTGTCTGGCTGCTTTTGCCAAGTGACACTGTGATATTAAAAGGGTCATGAAACGTTTTACAAGAATTTTAAACTACATGTGTATTCAGAATCCTGGAAGTCCATTCTTTACCTCGACTCGTTTTATCGACCAGGTTCATTTAATAGCTATAAAAGCGCAATTTCGATTGACCATTCACAATCCCCTATTGTACAGCTGACGTCACATTAAGTCAGCCAATCAAAGCTCTCTCATTGACAAAACATGGCGACGCAGCGATATTCGCTGAGCCGTAGTTGACTGATATTCATGACATCATGCTTTCTTGATTGTTGCGCCGTCACAAACATTGTTTCTACTTTGGTAAGTTGTGCGGCACTGTCTGGCGACGCACACTATAGGCATGGCGAGGCAACCAGTTACTTAAGGACAACCTAAGGCAACCAGTAACAGAACCTAAGGTACCAGTAACAGAACCTAAGGCAACCAGTAAGAAAAACACGCGGACCCTGCGCCGAGCAAGCGAAGGCAACATGTGATGGAGCCCAGATGTACAGTAAAGTCCACTATTAAAGGGAACACTTGAATGCACACCATCAATATTCCTGGCCCTCTAAGAGAAGTAGGGCCCAACTGCATGCATGCCATTTTCGAGTGATAACGATGAGCGGCAGCCACAAACTTGTTCCACCGCGCTGTCGCAACGCAACGGCTGCAACCACATGTCGGCGACAGTTTCATTGTTGCTAAATTGAAAAGTATCGCATGCATACCCATAAATTGCAAATAGAAGTTTAAAAGTTGGTCGATGACAACATGCCAAATTTGTTACTGTCTCGTGTGGCATAAAAAAGCCACAGAAGCGTTTTATGAGGTTATTTTTTAGCAATCTTCAGTTTAACCACGACAGGGTTCCCAGAAGCACATGCTTACAATGGCTACCATGCATTTTGCGGGCCGATTCCACATTGCAGCAAGCGACCATTATTGTCACAAGCGACCATTGAAACATCAAAACAAACCTTCGATAACAAGATTTATGGCAAAATGCGGCTGCTGTCTCACTCTCCACGTGAGATGCCAATGTAAAAAATGTGGTTCGATACCTTGCATTTTTTAAAATACATGCGTATAACAAGCATTGAGAGCAAATTGCAACCAAAGCAAGGACCAGGGGTGTAGCCATGTTGCCAGAAGTCGCCACGCTGGCTTCCTGGTGACAAACGATTTTTTCTAGTTTTCTAGAAATGCATGATGCGACAAGTGATGGCTACAAACGAACCTCCGCGACAGCAAATCCTGTCGCTCGTTGCTACCGGTTGTCGCTGTCGCCAGAAAATAGCGTGCATGTGGTTGGGCCTCAAGGAAACAATCCTCGTGCACGTCACTAGTGTGTCAAGAGGAGTCAGATTTTTCAACCAACAGTAGTCCTATGCATATTTAGGCTGCTATGCTTCTGTAACACCGGGAAATCTAAATATGCTGCCCATGCACGTGTTCCTTTGAACAGTGAACCCGTCTGTACTTGAAAGCAGAACCAAGATCACTTGCTGTATTTCCACTGTATACACAGCTCAGAGTGCACAAATTGCTTGTGTTAGTTCTTCTATCCTTAGTTCCTGTATATCTATCATTATGGAGTGAAAAAAAGCTAATGCTCTGTTTATAACATCTCTACCATGATGTTTCACTGACATCACATGTTAGTGCTATGACGGCCACTACGGCTGCATGGTCGTTCAGGAGCTTGAGAAAACTGCTATTTTTTCAAATGGGCGTCATAATTATAGACTGGATATTGTGCTGAAATATTTTGGAATAGCTATGCCTCATCAATATTGAAGCAGGAAAAATTACAACCGGCTAGTTCATTTTTTTTTTCACGACCTCTTTAAGAAACATTTTATCTGAGAATTGGTGGGAGGTCATCGTTTCAAATATTCCATGTTAACCTAGCTGCACAGTGCTAGCTTTTCAGACTTATAGTAGATGCATTTCTAGTACAAGTTCAGTTTACTGTCACGTGCACTCATGTTCTAATTTGAATAGACTTTTGAATAGACTTTCTTGCCGTGTGATAGAGGGACGTTTTTGTGCAACTGTAAAATTGTTTGTGCAATCGAACCTTGTTTAAGCATTCAAGTTTTGCATGATATCCCAGTGCAATGTTTGAGATATTGTTGTCAACCAAACTGTTCCATAGTAAATTCGGGTGCTACATTTTCCCAATTCATATGTTTTCTTGGTCATCTTTTTTTATTAATATTCTGTTATGTATGAACGACTGTAGGCAGATAGGGGCTTTGGACTGCTTTCGTTAAGGTTGCCATTATCTAAATACCCCGCACTTCCTTATGCGCCTCACAGAGGTTATACAAGCAACCTCTGTCAAACTTGGTATGGCAGAGCTATATGGTAGCGAAAGCTCACAGTGGCAAATTTAATATCGGTGCCCGCATCAAAGTGTCTCTTTGTGAAAATTCGGAGGATTTCTGTTGTCTGTCAGCTCGCATCTGCTTTCACAGCAAAGCCATTTTTGACATTTTGATGATATAGTATAGATGTGGGAGAGATAGTTGAGAATGTCAATATGTGAATGAGTGGGATTTCCTGCTCAAGCTTCCAAGAGCTGCCCATTCTCCAGATTTCATAGTTTTCTTGTGTATATTCTATGCCAGATTGAAAAATTTCGATGATAAAGTATACACACTGTTTGGGAATAATTGCTGCAGATATAAGCACCTCAAGCATTTTACTTTCCGTCATATGCATTGTGAAAATAGTGGCTCAGTAAAAAACAGTTTTCAGTCTCTTTAATGACAGCGTTTTCAATTGTTGTGCCTAAACTTTGTAATGTGTCTCTTAAGAAATGGTGTGCAGGAATCATCCTTACATTTCGATTATCGGTGAGTCAGCATTGGTACCGTCTCTTACTTTGCATCACATAACGTTTTACAGCTTCTGAATGAAGCATTTGGCGGGGTTCCTGGTCCACCTACTACACTAGAGTGCATTGCTCAAGACTGTCCTGACTTGATGAAGAAAGGCAAGTATGAAGCTTTGTGACATTCTGCGGAAACATTACATATTTTTTAAATTGTCTTCTCCATTCAGCGGTAACCAGCAGTAACATTGTGCACAGAACTCTTCTAGGGTTGTGTATGAATACGTCAGCATAGACAGATAAGTTACTGCGTAATGCACATTGCACGAAAAATGCACAGAATGTGCTGTGTGGCACTAGTGCATGTTTTACTGAAACAGGAATCGTGCACTGGATAGGACTGCACATTTGTAGAGAAATGATGGCTGCAAATGCTGCTCATTTGTGTTGCAGAATGTTGTTTTCGGCAGGGTATCAGAATTGTGAAGCTACGTAGCTCGATTTGACATCGTACTCGTGCATTTTTGCAAGTCTACCTGATGTACTAGATGATTTATTGAGGCCCAATATTATATTTAATTTCACATAATTTTGTCGTGTTAAGCCATTTTTGAATTTTTAGAAAGAATTTCCCCACATATTCCGAAATTGTCACGCTTGCTGAGCTTTTTCAGGCATCTGCTAATGCATAAAGTCTCAAATACAAGTTTCTTACGTTGCTAAACCCAAAGTGCTATCATTGATTGGAAATTTATAAATTGACATTTACACTTTTTCCTGATAGAATGCTTAGTGCTACACTTCACCATGCATGTCTTATCTCGTCACAGTGCTGCATAAGTGTGTCCCATGAAAATTACACTGATGATGGAAGCACCCACCCCACTTTGACTCACACTGGTACTGTCACTGTGTGATTACACTCACTGAGCACTATTTAAATTTTCAGGCTCAATGATGTAAATATACTGCACCACAAAACTAGTCTATTCATGTTCAAGTACTTACAATTGAAGTGCCATCTGTATGTTTAAAAGATCCACAAGTTTCTGAACTTTTTTTTTATTCCCTGCTAGTGCTGTTGTTTTGGGTTTTAAGGAATTTTTTGCTGTGCTGTTGACCCTAAATTTCCGTTCAACGTCTGTTTTGGGTGGTATGTCAGTGATTGCTTGCACATTCGCGTATGTACGAGCATATGACGGTAAGTTTGGCTATATCTTGGGAAAGTTTCCACTTGTTCTACCAGGAAAAACTGTTGCCAAGTATCTAGTGTTTGATCTCTTCAAAAGGGATGGCTTCACACTGGGTCATTTATTTCCAACAGGAGTGCAGTTTCACATGTTCACAGGTGGCTGCACTCCTGTTCCCTGTACTATGCATATGTACAATCGATGCCACCATGCGTGCGCATTTTTGTCGCAGAACTTGAGAATACTGATGGCCTCTTTGTGGCGATAGCATGGAAGACCACTGGAAGTCGTTATGCACTTTTATGGTTTGGTTATGGGTGCATAACTATATAGCTTTCTCTCAAATGCTAACATATTCATTTATCCTGGTTATCCTGGGGACATCCCTTGTGTGGCGCTACTTTTATGGTCTGTGGTTATCATCTCCAGTTGCGGTCAGTTTCGTTCTGCCCAGCAAAAATTGTATAATGAAGCAATTTAACTTACTTGTTTGTTTTCTCGATACCCTTTTCATCTTAGCTCCAATTTCATGAGTTGAATTATATTTATACACCACCCTTCCTTAGTGCCTTTAGTCCCAAGGCTATTGCAAACTAAATAGATTAATTAAAAATATATTTGCAGTGGCAACAATATAGGCATGCGTTCCAGTTTATAAGCTACAAGTGAGTCAAACGGTCAGTGCATCGGTCTTGACTACTGCCAATACTCTAAATTGGAATAAGATTGCTGACATCTTGATCCGTTAAAACGGGAAATCGTTAAGCTATCTGAAATTAAAGTCTAACCGAGGATCATCTTGGAAGCGGGCGTAGCACCATGATTTTGATGGGTGCAAAGGTTACTGTAATTTGTAATGCACATTTTTCTTAGCTTGTGAAACATATCTTGTCCCGTGGATAAACTTGTGGATAAATAGTGCTAGCTTTTTTTTTTCTCTTATATTAGTGGTATTTATGAGTAAGCAAGACATTTATATTTACGAAAATATCTCATTTTTCCCCCCCAAGCTTTATGGTCACTTTGAGCAATAATAGGTAAATTTTTTTTTTCCAAAATAGGCCAGTCTGAAGCTTTTAAGTCTGCAATAAAATAAATCAACCCCAATCGTTACATTTGTTGAATACATGTACATTCGATCCTTGTAGGGTTACCTACTTTCATTGACTTACTAACAACATGAATAATGTTGGATTTTTCCACGGAGACCACAACACCTAGCACTGAAAAAACGCAAGAAGATGTGCAGAAGAAGCTACTTAGGTGCCCAGACACTTTACTCGTAGAAGCTACAGGTTACTGAGCACAGGATTAGAAAATTTTTCCTTTCGAGATCTAATGCGGTCTGGTTTCTCGTTATGTACCGTCCAGTTCGATGAAAGTTAATGTTCTGCTCTGCGTAACTCTCTTGTAAGCTAACAGCTCTGTAACTAAGCCATTAAAGATATGTTTTTCCACATTAGACTTCCAGGACCTGTTTCCAGCGAGGAACATCTTTGGCGATCCACTAACGGTGATCACCTTGACCCAGAAGACGGAAAACGACATGACTTACTGGAGCGAGGATGTGGATGTTGAGAGGGAAGAGCTCACGGGGCAGGTATGTTGTTGGCTGTTTTGTGGCAGTGTTGTAGTAGGCTTTTTGATTGCCTGGAGCTGTGCACAATTGATGTAACAGACCATGCTTGGTGCTGTGCAGGTGAGCTTTTCACGCAAACATGACAGTGTAAAGTGAATAGTACCTCTTCTCTTTATTTTAAATTCAAAGGTAATTTTCTTCTTTGCATGGATTGCTGGGAAAAACATAAATATTCTGGGCATCCTACATTGCATACCGCTTGATCGGACATGCCAACGGGGAGACGACTGTCCTTACCACCCTAGTTAGACGAAACCTTGCGTTCACGCAACACGACACGGAAATTACCAATATAGACAATATATTTATTGAACTCGTTCCGCAACGCAAGACACAGGAAAGTCTTTTTATACTAAACATATACAGCAACCCTAAACAAAAGAAGCACAGATTTCTCACACTCTTTAAACGCGCCCTCAACATCGCTGGCCAAAATCCCATCTCAATAGCGGGAGACTTCAACGCACCACACACTGCCTCGGGATACTTTTATGTGTTTCCTAAAGGTAGGTCCCTCTGGTTTGACTCGCAGCAAGAGGGATTAACCCTCATCACCAACCCTAGCACACCCACACGTGCGGGCACTAGCTCCAGTAAAGACACAACGCCTGATCTGACGTTCACGAGAAACACATCAGCAGCCACCTGGAAAAATACCCTAGAGGACCTGGGTAGCGACCACTACATCATCGAGGTACATGTTCAAGGTGGCCCACGTAAACCCACGGGAAAAGAGCTAAAGTTGGTAGACTGGACCCAGTTCCGCAAATCACGTGAGAACCAGGTCCAACCCATCAGCGACATAGAGGACTGGATACACACACTTAAACAGGATAATAATAATGCCACCCGAATCGTACCTCCCGAGGCACACCTCGAAGAGATCGATAGCCGGCTCCTCCACATGTGGGAGGCAAAGCAATCGCTCCAAAAGAGGTGGAAGACACAGAAACACAACAGAAACCTCAGGAAACGCATAGCACTCCTCAACACAGAGATAGAGATGTATGCAACACAGCTAAGCCGGCAACACTGGGATGAAACCTGCAATGCGATGGAGAGGCAGCTAAGTCTTAGTAAAACTTGGCATTTTCTACGGTTCCTGCTCGACCCAGAAGACAGCAAAACCGCCCAAAGACAAACCATCAACAAACTAATACATGCTTACAAGGGCACCGACGAGGAGTTTCTTAGGGAGGTAGAGCTCAAATATATCTCTCAGGCTCCTACTCAGCAGCATCCAGATTATACGGGCCAGATCAACACTACTCTAGACGAAGAATTCACCGAAGCGGATATCCGTGCCGCCCTACAAAAACTTAACACCAAATCTGCACCAGGTCCGGATAACATCACGAATAAGATGATAACGCAATTTGGACGATGAGTCGATCACGCATATCACAGACTATATTAATAACTGCTGGAACACCGGAATCTTGCCCCCGCATTGGAAAACGGCCAAGGTGATTCTGATTCCGAAACCAGGCAAACCACTGAATACTGACAATCTTAGGCCCATCTCCTTAACATCTTGCATAGGCAAATTGATGGAACACGCTTTCCTGGCTAGACTGACAAATTACCTCGAAGACAATGATTTTTTCCCACACACCATGATTGGCTTCCGCAGGCATCTTTCAACGCAGGATGCCATGTTGCAGCTTAAGCATCACATCATAGACAGTACGGGACACTCCACTAAGGCCATACTTGGTCTTGATCTGAAGAAGGCTTTTGACTCTGTCACGCATAGCACCATTCTAAATCAGGTCAATACTTGGGGCTTCGCACGTACAACTATATTAGGGCATTTCTTACGGGCAGAACGGCCACGATCACTGTGGGAGCACTCAGGTCGTCCGAAATAACCATAGGAAGTGCGGGCACCCCGCAGGGTTCCGTGATACCTCCCATGTTGTTTAACCTCACCCTCATTGGTCTTCCTTCAAAACTTCAAACCATCCAAGGACTTCATCACACCATTTACGCCGACGACATCACCCTCTGGGTGTGCGACAGCAGTGACGGTTCCATTGAACAGAGATTACAGGAGGGGATTGACACAGTCGAATGGTATTTACAAGGAACTGGACTATCCTGCTCGGCGGAGAAATCTGAGCTACTGCTATATCGCCCTACAATTAGAGGTCGGCCACCCAAACAACATCCCCAAGCGCAGGCACACGCTGATATAAAACTCACTACAAGCGATGGTCACGCCATACCAACCGTGGACAAAATCAGAGTGCTAGGTTTGATCATAGAAAGTAAGGGTACCAACGGAGAGACAGTTCGCAACATTGAAGCCAGAGTGTCTAACACGATGCGCCTCATTAGGCGCATTACCAATGAACACAAAGGCATGAAAGAGGCCAGCATCATCCGTTTGATCCTAGCGTTTGTTCTAACTCACATCACCTATACGGCAGCGTACCACCGATGTTTCACCGCGGAAAAGTCAAAACTCAACAGCCTAATTAGGAAAATTTCCAAACAAGCGCTAGGTTTGCCTCAAAGCACCAGCACCGAACTACTCCTTCAACTTGGTTTACACAATACCCTTGAGGAACTTATTGAGGCGCAACAAATCTCCCAATTCGAGCGTTTAGCCAAGACTAAGCCAGGCCGCCAGATTATATGTAATCTCGGTATTGCTTACCACACTCAACACGGAGACAAACACGACATACCACGCACTATCCATGCTAAGCTAACAGTACCACCCATACCAAGAAACATGCACCCTGAACACAACAAGGGCAGACGTGTCAGTAGAGCCAGGACCATGTCAAAGATGTTTGGGCGCAACCATGAGGCAGTCTTTGTCGACGCAGCACGCTACCAGGAACGTCACCACTTCGTGGCTGCTGTCGTAGACCACACACAACAATGCAAAAGCAGCGCGTCAATCATCACACGGAACGTAGAAACGGCAGAGGAAGTGGCTATCGCGATGGCCATAGCCCACACTAACGCCTCATGCGTAATCAGCGACTCGCAGACAGCCGTTCGAAACTACGCCAGCGGCAGAATCTCCCCCGAGGCATTGCGGATTCTTAATACAGGCAAAATTCACGAGGCGGACAAATACGTACACATCTTGTGGTTCCCTGCCCACACACCACTAGGTAACGCGGAGGCCAATCTGAATGAAGTGGCGCACAACGTGGCTCGAGGTCTTACGTTCCGAGTCACGTCAGACGAAGCGGCCACCCAAATGGACCTTTCTGCGCCGGTGTGGGAATGGGACGATCGGCTCACTAAATTTATTGACATAATTCAACACTATCGACTGCAAAGGCGGGAGTACCCTCCACCTCACTCCAAGCTAAATCGGGCCCAGTCCGTTCAGTGGCGACAGCTACAAACACGCACATACACGAACCCTGTCATCATGCACCACATATATCCTGACGTCTATAGTTCTAATCTATGCCAGTACTGTACCACCAGAGCCACTCTCGACCATATACTATGGGAATGTCCAGCATTAGTCAGAAATTCTGGGGTCGCGGCCTTCAATGAAGACCTTCGGGCGCGTTGGCGGACTGCGCTGCTCAGTTCGGGCCTGGACAAACAACTTTGAGCGATCCAGCAGGCCAAGGAAGCTGCCGGGAGACACGGTCTCTCCAGTTGGCCCCTAGGTGGGAGCCCATCCCAGCAATCTGCCGGAAATGAATAAAGTCTATCTCTCTCTCTCCTACATTGCATTTACTGCTGTAATAACCGAAGTACACTATGGCCCTCATAATGTGTGAAGGGGTGAAAGTATTTTAAAAAGATTATCCATGTATAATTGGTATCATAAGATTTGCAGCACATTGGTCGTACTATAGAAGATTTGTAAAGGGGCCCTGCAACACTTTTCAAGCATGTTTAAAAACATTTCTGATTGGTAGTTGAGACTCCTGGAAATGTGAAAGCCGAACATTATATACAGCACAGCGCGCAGCCTGAAGTTTACAATTAATTCTCACAGTCGGCTAGAAATCGCTCACTTTTCTCTAGACTAACGAGGCCATAAACCTAAATGACCTTGCTGTAAACCTCACGTCCGCAGCCATTCGTTGATTTGAGCATAGGGAGCTGCATAGTTGCCTGTGACCACCGCGGAGTACCAGGACATGCCAGAACGCTCGCTAGCAGTTGCACTGGAAGTAAGCTATGTTTTAGAGGACAAAAAAGGAATGCTCAAGGTCATTACACATGCATAATGAAACATAGATTCTTGCCCGCTTGCTATCGCACTTTTGCGTAGCTTTCTGTGCACTTGCTGTTTAGACAGGAGAGATAAAGCGTGCAACAAATTCCTGTACTTTCGCTCATATTTGACAGGTTCTCAAAGTTCTTGCAGCAGTCGATTTGTGATTCAGTAAACTTCTTTAATGAAACCGTGCAGCGATTACTTGAAAAAGTGTTGCAGGATCCCTATAGTTAGTATCAGGTTAGTTGGATCTTATAGTTTATATGATTCTGACAAAATGTCGAGCTGGGTTACGTGTGGTGCTTGCCCCAGCCTGAGATGTTATGGCAACACACCACACATGATCGAATTTTACGTTTATGATATTAGACTTTGATACAGCCAAAATAGAGGGTCAGTTGCGGCACGGTATTACAGTTATGCAAGCTGTGCAAAGTAGTGTACGTCGCCAAGTATATGCCACTGCCAAAAGGTGCAAATACCTTGATGCTGGTGAATTGAAAGAGCGCACGCCGAATTTAATAGAAACTGATGCAGATCCATTTATAGAGCTTCGCTGGTCGTGCACGATCAAAAAGTGGGATTGCTGCTAAATTTTTTCCATTTATCCGCACGTAGTATGTAATAGGTATTGTCCATAATACCAATTGTTGTTTATAAAACAGTCTTTCTGTTTTATTGTGTCACATCTATTTGTCATTTGAAAGAGCACAAACCAAGAGGCATGCAAGCATATATTTATGTTGTATCCTTACCTTCATTTATTAACAAGAACACGTACTAAAAGCTTGCAGCAATAGAAGAACGCAAGAGCTTACTACTGCTGCCTTCACACTTCTCAGATTGTTCAGGGGTAGCGCTTCATCGACAAGTTATGATGTTGTCTCTTTTGGGCAATGCAGAATGCTTTTTCTCTTTTAGAAAGAGAATCCCAAGTCGTTCAGCATTCTTTGCACTGTGCATGTACTGATGTTCAGCATGTCCACGTCACTGTTGCTGATTATGTTGTTGCAGGTCTTAGGAAGCAAGGATTTCATTGAGCGTAAAATAACTGTGCACATTGCCAAAATTATGCTCTTGCAAATGCATTGTAGCGCAGCTTATTTTTGTCTCCTTACTGGTCATATGTTTGTCCGTTTCACTCGAGAAATTAAATTTTTTGTTTTGGAGGAGCAATTTGACCATGCAGAGCTTCAAAGGACACTAAAGGCAAATATTAAGTCGACGTTACTTGTTGAAATAGCGGTCTACAAACCTTCTAGAGCTACTTTTGTGCCAAGGAAGTGCTTATTTAAAAAAAAGAAAGGTCACGGTTTAATGGTCTGCATTTTATTAGCACACTTCAAATCACCTGCCTGAAAGTGGTCTTTCTGACGATGTTGCCGTGCCCAACGTTGCCTGCCTTTACTGCACGGCCGTGAACACTAGCAGCGGTAGAGTGGAAGTAGTGGAACCACAGCAGCAACAACTGCTGTTGAACAGTTTTCTGCTTACTTGGTTCAACTGGGCCCTGCTCAAATAAATCACCTATCCAGCCTAACCAGGCAAAGGCAACTTTTGAACTATTCGTGCCATTCCACATAGTAACTTCAGGCAGTTCTTTTTTGTATGAATCAAACAGAAATGGACAATCAGTATTTTATTATCTGCTGTAATGCACGGAAGGTTGTTTTTTTACTGCAGCTGATTTTATTATCAATATTTAATTGTAGTCGGACGCTCTCACGTCATTGGGATCGTTTAAAAAATGTCCCATTCGTGGCTCATGTGGTGTCGTACATGTGCCTTAATTTCTCAATTGGTAGAGCAGTATTGTTGATAATATTGTTTCTAACATTCCCAGGCCTTGACCTTTCACTCTGACCTAAATTGTTGATTTGCCTTTAGTGTTCCCTTGAGCCACCATTCACATACCCTTACGAGCCTAATGATAGTCTGGGTCGCAGCATTCGTCAACAATTCAAGCTGAAGGCACCTTATCCTAGCATAAATGTTGCAGATAACTTGCTTAGTCTGTTCTGACAGCCCTTTTCTGTCACATTTCGTGTATATCTTTCTCGGAGAACAAAAATACGAGTTTGTGGCAGTACGTGGTCCAGCCAACATGGGGGATGCCATGTTTACAGTGAGAAACGGCATGCAGAAGACACAGTGCTGTCGCGGAAATGGAAAAAAGGAAATATCAATTTAAAGTGCAATATTTCTTTCACCAGCGGCTTTGCATACTTTTTATTTTTATAATGAGAGAAGCTTTATAATTAATAATTTAATAATGATTAATAAATAAAAGGAAAATGGGTACTATTTTCTAGCGAGTGTGCAGGCAAGCATTTCAGTTCCGTTAGTTCCACAGTGCTGCCAAGAAAACTTGTTGCTGAGTAGACTAAGGATAACGGAATTTGAAGCTGAAAAAAAGCTGGAGTCAATATTTAAGGGGTATGTGCTGACTTCTTCCTTGTGTTCAAAGACCAAAGGAAGGGGGCTTTGCTGTTTCTTTATTCACATGGACCTGTCACTGTCTATTACTCGCTGTTCACTGCCCTATTCTCTGTGCATGCAGTTTGTGATGACAGCACGGAAGATATGCAGCTCCCTGCAAGAGGCTGGGTACTGGGCCGACTTTATCGATCCATGCAGTGGAAGGCCGGTAAGTTTTATTAAAACAATATTTAATGTGTTGGTGAAAGGTGAATTTTCCTATTCATGCATGCACAGTGAGGAGCTGGCTGGGAAAGGTCAGACTTTCTCACGTCATACAGCTTAGAATTTCTCAAAGAGTCGTATGTTTTAAAAAGCTGTTTCAAAATTATACAATACCGCTAGGTTTTGCAATGTCTCATGGCATTGCCATCATACATTATACCAGCACTAATATCACAGAGCTACAGTAAAAAAAAAGCCCGTGAAACAGTTTTAATGTTCTCACTACAGCTTTACGAAGGCCTCCAGTATAGCTCGAGGAACCATTGTGACCACATATTCCTTGGCGTGAGTTTGTAACACTTCAAATGTCCATGGAAACTGCTGATGTACCAGTGTTGCTGATGTTAGTAGACATAAGCCCCAAGCTCAGCATGTCACGTCTGCATGATGTTTTATATCACGTCTTTGCCCAAACTGATTATAGGTGTACCGACATGAAAATTTTCAGTTGCTGGTCATCATCATCAGCCTGACTACGTCCACTGCAGGACAAAGGCCTCTCCCATGTTCCGCCAGTTAACCCGGTCCTGTGCTTGCTGCTGCCAATTTATACCCACAAACTTCTTAATCTCATCTGCCCACCTAACCTTCTGTCTCCCCCTAACCCGCTTGCCGGGTGCACGTTAAAGAACCCCAGGTGGTCAAAATTTCCGGAACCCTCCACTACGGCGTCTCTCATAATCATATGTGGTTTTGGGACGTTAAACCCCACATATCAATCAATCAATTAACCCGCTTGCCTTCTCTGGGAATCCAGTTAGTTACCCTTAATGACCAGCGGTTATCCTGTCTATGCGCTACATGCCCGGCCCATGTCCATTTCTTTTTCTTGATTTCAGCTATGATATCCTTAACCCCCGTTTGTTCCCTTATCTACTCTGCTCTCTTCTTGTCTCTTAAGGTTACACCTACCATTTTTCTTTCCATTGCTCGCTGCGTCGTCCTCAATTTAAGCTGAACCCTCTTTGTAAGTCTCCAGGTTTCTGCTCCGTAGCTAAGTACCGGCAAGATACAGCTGTTATATACCTTCCTCTTGAGGGATAGTGGCAATCTACCTGTCATAATTTGAGAGTGCTTGCTAAATGTGCTCCACCCAATTCTTATTCGTTTAGTTACTTCCAGTTATTTCCAGTGAAATACCAGTTGCTGGTATTTCACATAAAATGAAAGGCAAAGCCCTAAGAAGCCTAGAAAATGTACTGCAATGCTTGAGTGCACCCTGATTAAGTAATTACAGTGTGCTTTTGAAAGCTAGTTTCAGTTCGTACTGCACCCTGACGTCAAAACACGGTATGGACTTCCGGCCATGAGCTCTTACAAGATATCGTGACGTTTGCACGGCTGCTCAGCACCATGGCTCCATTGGTGATGCACAAGTGGCCATATTGCAAATTTCAGTGCCTGATATCATCACAACAAACCAGACTGCTGCGTGAAGTCACGAAAATTTGTACTGTAGCCTGACGTCAAGCTGGTGCCAATGTCGGTCATTGTGTCATGGGAAAATCGACTTCGATATCAAAATACAATATGTTACCAGCATATGCTGAGCCTCAATTGCTCAGAGTCTCCCATTTCTGTATACAGGAGGTTTCTATGGCAGTGTAAACACATCGTTGAAAAATGGCGGCAGTACCCCTTTTGCACTGGCTGGTCATATCTCACGTTTGCACAGAGAAGTGCCATGAATGAACCAATCTGTCAATCAATTGCACCGCCCTGGTTCTTTTTGGGCATACTTTTGGCCCTTGCACCCAAAATTGCTCATATGCATCACAAGCGTGTTGCTAATATGTTACTGTTAGGTGCTGTAACAGCTGTAGCAGGAACTTGTTCATAATGGCCTCACCTTGATGCTGAGAGCTTTGCGTTTTCTGCTCTATACTATAGGAGCCCGCGTGAATGAAGACCTCCCATTTGGTCATTTCCCAATTTATTGTTTAAGATAAAAATATTTGACAGGGATCTCACTGGCTGAGTAAAAATTACACAAATAAAACAAAGCTCTCCGGCTTGTTTTAGCCACCATTACGCAAGGGAAAAATGCTTGGTAAGCAAAAAAAAAATGTGCAAAGAGAGAATATGCAGGTGGTTGTATTGCTTCAAACTTCCCTCACTAATTTGCCTTAACGTTAATGATTTTTTGGGGGCATTTACTGTGGCCTACATAATTCCTCACTGGTATAAAACTGAATTAATTTGTGCTTCAGAGAAGGAGAAGACATTCGGGTTGCTGTTACCTCTCGTAAAGTTGTTTGTGCCTGATGGCGCATGCGGGTCTCGAGAATAGGCGCAGTTAGGTTCAACAGCCGTCGAGCGAGACGTGGTGCTGTGCTTCTGTGTGTTAAGGTTAGTGTGGTGGCTCCAGCAAGGAGGCGGTGCCGATGGAAGCGGAGATGCTAGGCTGGTGCACGAAAAAGAGAGTAGCAAATCTCTTTTTGGGGTTGGCAGAGTGCATTTCCTGCAGTGGGTCCGTGGAGGGTTACACCGCAGGTCATTTCCCTTAGAACCCGGTACTCTGTTTGCTCTGTTGTTTGAGTCTTGCATTTGCATATTGTATAAGGTTATTTATCAAGTCACTAGTAATGTGTTAGATTCTGCTGAAGATATTGTCGTGACATAAAAGTAGATGAATAAATATATATGTGTTGGTTGCCCGATGGCGTGACCGTCTCCATATGTTCCAAGAGTGGCACTTTTTCGAGACCCCACAAAACTTACCAATGCAAGTTTAAGTATATTTTATTGAATTACTGTTTCCAAAATATGAAAGACTGGAATCTGAGACTTCACAGTGACATTCAGCTGCTGATGTGTTGGCACACAATTCAAGAATGAAAGCTATGACCTTCATTTGTTTGTTAGTAATAATAAAGCAAGGTTGGCAAAGTTAATATCAATTCATTTCTGAAAGAACGATTTGCGAGTATTAACTTGTTTAGTAGTTTTTCAACTTAGTTTCCCCTTAAAGACATGTGGCTAATTTGATATGTGATGTAATTAAATTGCCATGCTTTAATTTCTGTTTTTATTTTTTGCACAGTCACTGGGACCTTACACCAATGCGACACTCCTGGAAACTGATGAGCGTTACAGGCACTTTGGATTCACCATTGAAGACCTTGGGTGTTGCAAAGTGATCACTCATCACTTGTGGGGAAGCAATGCCTTTGTGGGCTGCTTGTTTACAGAATGCTCCTGCTGACAGCCTAGAAGTACAAAAGATACTGTGTCAGCACAATGAGTGACTTCCAGCAGGACACTGCCAAAGGACATATAAATATTTGTACATTGCTGGCTGGGCACTGTGTTCGAGATATTCAGTTCCGCATGAACAGTGAGAAAATAAAACTATTAGGGATAGATTTGGTTTCCTTTTCTTGTGTTTGCTGAGCATGTCATACGTTAGGTGAAGCATGCACAAAGTTGATCGCAGTAATTGTAGTCTGTCCTTCGTACCGTCTCCCTACCATAAGTGCATCGCCAAGTAAAAAGATGTTCCAGTTTCCTGCAGATATTTTCAAAGTACCTGATGCATATTGTTTCGAATGGAATGGATGGACTTTTTTAGAAATTAAGCTCCAAAACTGTGATATGATTATGGGACATGCCGTAGTGAGGGGCTTCAGTTTAATTTTGACCCCCGGGAGTTTTTTAACATGCACATACATTGAAGTGCACAGGTGTTTCTACATTTCACTTGCGAGTCCTTTGTGTCCGGATATTGAACCCACGTCTTCTAGGTTAACTACTCAACACCTTTGTTGCTAAGCTTCCATAGCAGCTATTAAAACATTGTGAAGGCAGTGCACGGCCACTAATGGTGACCGGCCCACTGCTTTTTCCTAAAGGAGGGGCAGAGATAGAGATAAGATGCCTGAAGTAAACTATAGGTCAGGACTTGGCACTGGTGCCTTTCTAAGTATTGTGGTTGGAGAATACTTCGATTGTGATGATAGCGACTTCACATTAGCTGCAAGTGTGTGTGCATTTATACGTTCTCATTTATCAAAATGAAATTTCTACACACCTCATATCTTAAGCCTCAGGGCCGTGCGCACTGTGATGTGTTCACGTATGCTTTACATACATAGAGTTTTCCATGAGTGATGTGTGCCTATGATGTAAATGAAATGCGTCGTCAATGTTGAGATCAAAGTTCTGTCCCCTGGCATAGCAGCACGGTGCACTAGCCATTAGGCCATGATTGTGTGTATGCAAGTCATGGCAAGGTCATCTTTCAAATGTCTAATGCATGCATCTAGATGCATGCATTTCTTGTTTTCTGCCTTCGCACAGCTAGCGCTTTAGTACACTGTGCCTTTATATGCTGTGTTGATACGTCTAGAGTGGTTCAAGTCTGTCCGCACTGTCATTTCATTCAATTAGAACTAATTCACTCTGTTTTTCTGAAATGAAATTAAATCTAGCTTGAAAGTTATTAAGTTCGTATATTCACAGGATTGCCAGAAAGTGCTACGGGTGGTGCATGCTTGTCTGTGTCTCATCATTGCTGGAAAGCTGCAGTGAATGCTACAAGCCCTCTACCAAGGCTTTCAGTTTTATTGTTTGCTTACCACTACACGCAAGAATTATGTGCCTCCATAACAGCGGTGTGACATGATGTGTGTATTAAGGCAGTTGGATTTCCTTACTCCGGATCATTTCGTAGCTGCTATGGCAGCTACCTAAAATCTGTGTAGAACTTGCACCATGGGCACACTTCAGCCACTCTGTGTTAGCTTTGCAGAAATTAAGGAGAAATACTGTTTTAACTCACAAAAATTAGGGCATGGTTGTTATCCACAGTATGTCATAAGAATGGTGTACAAGCACAGTAATGCAATGGCCATCTCGACAAACATAATGCTTCTCTGCAGTCTTATGCTGACCACCAAGCTTCTCTGCCAGAAGAAGGCAGGCACATTCGTATGAACTGGCAGAAAATTCTAATGTCTACATTCTTCAAATGATTCATTAAGAATTGAAGAATTGTAAAACAAAAATAAATTTGTCACTGCATTTGTTAAAATGTTTATACCACAAGATGTATTTCTAGGAACGGAAGCAGGAGAAAGGTACTACGTGCAAAGATAAATTTTTACAATGAAAGCTGTTTTGAGATCACAACAAGGGTCGCGTGTGGTGACTTAGTAAATAAAATTACGAAGGACACTGTAGAATTCGAACACGGGTTTCCTGTGTGCCAGCCCAGTATTCTCCAATGCTACGCCGGTACCTGAAACTGCGTTGCAAACTTGCCTTAGACAGGCTTGGTGTATGGAAAGGAATCGTGTTAATATGAGTAATTAAGCATGTTAGAACAGCAAAAGAACAACCAGGCATCACACAATGCGAATTCCATAACGAGTGGGTCATCCAATGCTCCAACCCATTCCAAAAGCTTGTTCTTGATCAGCTATTAATTCTGGCACATACCTACGTCCGGCATAATTTTTCATCGTCGCCAGCCACTGCATAAAAACTTTGCGCAAAATACCTTGCTTGTGTGTAGCGAAAACCACGCTTCACTAAAAAATAACGAAGGATTGTATGCTGAATGCCTCCTTACTGCACAAAAATTATGATTAATGGTGAAGTGGGTACCCTGCAAGTGTGCTTGTACCAGTTCCCCAAGAGTGTTTAAAAAGGACTTTAAAAGGCCGCTCTTTTAGCTTTTGTTGTGACTGTGCTGTGCGTTCCGTGCAAGCCTGGCAGTTTTTCTTGTGCCACTGTCACATGCCTGCTTTCAATAAGCCTTAAAACCAAAGGACATTTAAACATGCTTGCCTAATGCACTCTTTTGTGTCAGAATGGGGCTTATGGAATTCAATTATCATCAAATATAATGGCTATGAAAGTGTTACTTTGGTATTAGTAGCGTTGATGAAGATGTGTTCTCCTTTAGGAGTGTCGCCTGTCTCCTTGTTCAATTCCTGTGATCACGATATTCTAATTCTGTTACATGGTTACTACAGTGAACTCCACTGAGTTCTTCTTGTGGACATGACCAGCCTGCCATACCTCATGCTGAGGAACCTCTTAAAAGGGAGAAAATTACCCATGGACACAGTAACCAGCCATTAATCAAGAAGCAACTTGAAATATATGCATGATGCTTTTCTGGAAAATGATCGAGGGTGTGGCCCTTGCAGATCATTAGCTCGATTTCAAAAATCATTCATTCATACAGTATACCTGTCTTAATCTACTAGTGAGCATGACATTCAAATGCACTGAATAGCACCGCAAGCAGCTCAGTCCGAGTTGCTGATTCGGATGAGATTTTTAGAGGCGAAGCTCCTTAGGGCATGGGCTGTGCGTCCCCTGTAGCCTGTATGTAGCCACCTCTAGTTTAGTTCTTGCAGTGTTCACTAGATGGCGGTACCGTCCCCTGTATGTAGCCACCTCTAGTTTAGTTCTTGCAGTGTTCACTAGATGGCGGTACCGTCTCCTGTATGTAGCCACCTCTCGTTTAGTTCTTGTAGTGTTTACTAGATGGTGGTACTTGTAGCTGATGATGAAAAGATGCAAGATGTTATAAACTAGAAAGCGGTACTTGTAGTTGATGAAAGACGCGAGATCTTATAAAATAGGAATGATGTCACATATGGCGCGTGTCATTGGTTGAAGGCAATCGTTCGATTTAGTGCGGCGACGTACGCTAGGGGGAGCGATGTAATAAAATCGAGTGGGCAAAATGTACAAAGGATTCATGGTTTACCAGGTTTACCTCCGGAGCTTCGCCCACTCATCATCATTCACTTCGTGGATATGGCGGAATTTTTTTGTAATTGAGACCGGGGTGGGATTACCATAATTTGACAACTTATGTTCATGTTTGCACATATATATGCTCCTGCACAACCACTTTAGTCATGGTTGTCAGCAGTAGTCGGTTAGGGGGGCGCAACAAACCTTGGTTGGTTGATATGTGGTGTTTAACGTCCCAAAACCACTATATGATTATGAGAGAAGCCGTAGTGGAGGGCTCCGGAAATTTCGACCACATGGGGGTCTTTAACGTGCACCCAAATCTGAGCACATGGGCCTACAACATTTCCGATTCCATCGGAAATGCAGCTGCCACAGCCGGGATTCAATCCCGTGACCTGCGGGTCAGCAGCCGAGTACTTTAACCACTAGACCACCGCGGTGGGGCATGTGCAACAAATCTTTGATGTAACGCGGCAGAGATGAGGGGTTCTGTTGTAGCTTGTGTGAAGGCCACCCCCTGCCGATGCCCACACTCGTAATCTCTCCGTCACCCCCCCCCCCCCCCCACACACACACACACACGCACACACACACGTACACACATACGCACGCACACACACACACACACACCATCTTCCGCTAAATGAAACCATGTACAGGCGCGAAGCAGCGGGCGCTAACGCTTACATTCTACGTTGCTTACACTGGCGGCGGAGTTGCGCCGGGCCGCGGGGAGAGATCCCCAGGGGAGAGAGAGAGCAGGAAGTGAACATAAGGTATCAGCCGCTGTCGGTGAGGCGAGAGAGGGTGAGAGGAGGGTGGGAGGGAGATTGATTGATCTGGGGTGTTTAACGTACCAAGACCGCCATATATGATTATGAGTGACGCCGTAGTAGAGGGCTCCGGAAATTTCAACCACCTGGGGCTCTTTAACGTGCACCCAAATTGAGCACACGGGCCTACAGCATTTTCGCCTTCATCGAAAATGCAGCCGCCGCAGCCGAGATTCGATCCCGCGACGTGGGAGAAAGATGGGGAAGGGACACGCATGAGCACTGGAGCGCGGACGCCACCAGATTAAGCTCGTTCTAAAAGTGAAAGCTTGACGCGCTTTTGCCCTGAGCCGCTGTGGGCCTGTGCGTGATATAGACGAGAATGCAGGGGCCGGCACAAGTGGCAACTCTATTGGCAAGCGAGGAGACCGACATTGGGATGATGGAAGTGTTGCAATAACTTCGTTTGGCTCTTGTGTTGCTCTGGCTGGTGAGGGCTACGCACCACGTACCTCCTTGCACCTTCTTCTGAAGTGGCCACTACCAACATCTGTGAATTTTCGTGGCCTCGAGTGATATTTCTTAGTGACAGCGTAATAGTCAACTTGCCCTCACCGTTATGAATTCCTTTTCTACCGCTATAAATTTATAATCTCTTGGTACAGCCTTAATATGGTGTCTATAAACACCAAGCATGCCCTTACCGCCTTTAGATCCCGGTTTCCGCTCTCCTAGTAGATTACAGCACGCTAACTCAGGCCAGCCTCTCTTCTTTCCTTCAAAATGTAAGGAGGAATGAGAACAATACGCCGTATAGCGGGCCATCTCTTTAGCCAGAAGCGCTGAAATGGGGTATAGCCTTACGCCAATAAACCACGTTTCAAAACTAATTTTCTCAGCTTTGTAACCATCGTTTCTGATATTCCGCGTGCTATCGCGCTTATGTCCGTGCCTCTCTAGCTCAGTGTAAACTGTGTGCTGGTTGTAGGTTTAAGCAAAACACTGTTTGAAACGCTTGAATTTGCCGCCTCCGCAGTGACGAACATCGTGCAACTAAAAAACTGCTGGTATTCATGCTATTTTTCCACTATTAATGTTAAGGTGAATATTAGTAGCAACATGGGCGAGAATCATAGTTGATGAATCTTTAGGCATAGAATGTTTAGGTGTGTTTGTTGGCTTGGCTTGTCAGCTGAATTGGCCACCCAATGCTCTCAGCTGACAAAGAAATTCATCGCCATCGTGATCAGTAATTCTAAAATGTCGTGCGTACTGTCGTGTTTTGCATGTTGGTAGCCGCGTTTGGCGTGATGAGCTGCTTGCGCGAGCTTGGATTACTGAACCGCTTTGATGAGTAGAGGACTTCACACGCGGACATTACCAAACAAACCTAATTATACCTCGTTTCTTGCTTGTATGGGCAGCATGGAGACCTAACTGAAGTCCACAGCCGCCGATCCGTGTTCTTCGAAAGCTTGATATGCTCAGGTGTTCACTGTGGCTGCTGGCAAACTTATTCAGCAAGTCCCTTCCTCAATCGTTCGATGCTTGTACGATGTCGGGGACAACAGACACGTGCGCTACGTCTCTCCCTGAAAGGTTTGAAAAAGTGGAAGGTTCGACGGGCAAGTTTAATGACGTGGTGCTGAACTACTCGGTGAAGATGGGAGACGCTAAAAAGGTCGTCGTTTTCTTCGGTGGTGACATACAGGTAAAATTTGTTTTGCAGCAGTGCTCACGTATCGTTTTCTGACGATTTATCGTGTACTTTTGGTGCACCCACGAGCGGCGCGTAATGTCCGGTGATCGGAAGCTTTAGTGTAATCTAGCTGAATGTGTTTACAAATTGCACGAAATGTCGGGTTCAATTTACTGAATTCCCCTCCTACTAGCGGGAAATGCGTAATTTTGCTAGTAGCGTGTTGCGTTGTAGTGTGGCTACTGTGCATGCGAGCTTGCGATTCCTTCACTCCAGTTACGTTACGAAAACTATTCGCATGAGTATGGTTTCCCCTGTTCTGTGTGAAGTCATTGCATTTATTATTGTTGCATAACTATATTACTCTCTTCGTTGGACCGAGAGAATTCAATAACAGTTAACCAGGAATGTAAGGCTTGTGTTGTCTTGCTGCTATTTTCCATTTTGGCATTGTATAAAATGCCCCACTTGACGAATATTTCAAACATTCTTGCAGGACTTTCCAGAAGCAATGATGAAGCATCGTGATAACAGGCTATACGTGCAGTGGAACCTCGAAAACATGGCCACACTGATGGGAAAGCACTTCCCCAACGCTCACTGCATCATCATTAGGCCAAACAGGCTTCAGTACCTCACATTCAGCTGTTATGACAACTTTGTTGAGAGCAACGACATGGGGGCACCGACTCACGAATTCAGCATTTCTGCATTGGAGCACATGCACGCTCTTCTCAGCACGTTGTCTACGAGGCTGAACGACAAAACGGATAAGGCAAAGTATGGTCCTGTTGCCACGACATTGCTGGAACATCCAGTGACGCTTATTGGATTCAGCAAAGGCTGTGTTGTCCTCAACCAATTCCTATATGCTATGAAGGCACTGGAGGTCGCCCCTGATGACGATGTCGGTCAGCTCGTCCGCAGAATAAAAGCAATGTACTGGTTAGATGGTGGTCACTCGGGCGGATCTAATACATGGGTAACCAAGGAGGCGGCCATGAAACCTTTGAAACATTTGGACATCAAGGTCTACATCCATGTGACACCATACCAAGTGCTGTGTAGCTCAAGGCCCTGGATAGGCAAAGAAGAGAAAGTGTTTAGAGAGACTCTGAAGAAATTGGGGGTTGACGTGACACGGAAGATCTATCATGAAGACGAGCCATCTTCTCTGGAAATGCACTTTGCTGTACTTGAGGAGTTCAAGGAGGTCGCGTGACTGTGGGACTTCTGCAGCTTGTTTGTGCTAGCACGGACTTCAAGACACGAGAATGCTATGTGTTTGCTGGTTTGTTTCATCAGTGCACAACATTTTGTGAGACTCCTGCATTCATAAGTTAATGTGACTGGTTCTGTGAATGTCATCGATCGCACAGTTAATGTGACTGGTTCTGTGAATGTCATCGATCGCACTAAGGCTTGTGTATTAGAGGCCCATGTAAGCAGATAATTTATTGAGGCCCCACTACTTCACTTGTGTCATGTCCACGTGGTGAGCCTGAATGAACTCGGGCTGCAAGGTAAAGCTGTTTTGTGTGGATGAACCCGGTGTTCTAGTGACCTCAGAAACCTACTGAATGGTTATATGTTATTAGTGGTTGTGGAACTTGTATGTGGAGCAAGAGTGTATACGATTGTAGTGCCTTGCTGCAATTATAAAGACAAACTTGTTGCGAATCGGGGAGATGTCAGTGATCAAGATGAATCAACCTGGTGCATGTTGTTGGAGGCCACTGTTCATTCAGTGCACATGTCTAGTAATGTTACTAATACTGCTGCTGCTGCAACTGAGTCTACATCAGTGACATTGATCTGTGTAAGTGCATGACCAAATGCACTTTGTAGGCAGCAGCTATATTTTAACCTTATAGTGCAACTGGCTTCTAGGGCGAGTACTAAAATGAGTACATGCATATTGCAACACACACCACTTTTCGACGTTCTAAGTGCTTTGCACTATAGTTTCCAAGAAAATGGTGGGAAGAAAGAAGGTGCAGTAATGCAGGGAAGCTGTCTGTTAAGTATTGTGTAAAATGTTGCATTTGTATTAAGTGCTATATTTTTTGATGTCTTTCATAGTAGTACGCATCACTTGACAGTGCTATTATGGCTTTATGTGCAACAGATTTTCAGAACTGTTCGAATGTACTGGAAAGGAGTCGAACATACAGATGGCAGTATGTTAAACAATGCTGGGACAGTTAGACTTCATAGTTCATTACATTAGCTGTTCATTATGCTATATCTTTCAGCATTCAACCCGGTAAAAGAAAATATCAAGTGAAATAAGCAAAAGCAACAACTCCACTGTGCATGCATTTGACTTTTTCACTAGTGTATGTGGCTGTTGTACTGATACAGTTCAGAAACGTAACATAAACATATTGAAGTTCGTCTTCCTGATGACTCTAATGCACTGGTGAAAGAGAGAGAAAACTTTTTATTTAAACGATTCAAATAAATATTGTGAGGGGGTTCTTAACCCAACAGGCACTGCCGTTTCTCTTGTCCAACAAGTAAAGACAGTGGTTTAGCACTAGTCTCCTATGAATTCATCCACAAAAGCTTTGGACATGCACATCACAACTTGAATTGTTTGGCAGCTGCAGCTACGTGATGGTTTTATGGGCAAATTAATACGTTGACTGCCAAGAGTTCGGTGCAGTACTCCTTAGCAGTATGTAGGAATGAAAATTTGAACTTATGCATGTTTCCAAAACGCCTATACTTTTGAAGAATGGCCTCATACAGCTTAAGACATTGCTCGCTGCAGCTCCTGGACTGACAGTACTAATACTGTGCAACAACGCCAATAGTCTGCAGCCGAATTCCTAATGTTAACCTGACAGCTGTTGTGCTCCAGGAACACCAATACCTTTTGTGGTGCACTAACTATCTAAATGAGTATGTCATTCTCACGGACTTGCTGTGAGTCATTCCCTGGGATTGAGGTATTGCTAAACATTGGCAATTCATAAAATTGGCACAGAAGTAACTGTTCAAACGATTTTGATGCACCATATCATCAAATAACAGTTTTCAAACCACATGAGTGCGCACTTAGTGGAATATGTGCTCCTCTAAATATTACTGGTTTCTTTTTCTTAGCCGCAGAGTTCTCTAACGTAAGTTCGCAGCTGGCATGTGTTGTGTTGATGTTTGTGCCATTTTCGCTTGAGACGCTGTGTAACATTTTATATAATTTTTTGCCACTGCTATCATTAATATGTTCTAAAATTTTATTGCATTAGGCTCTCATGCACGTGTCTGTGCAAGAAAGAGCCACTACCTTTGTCAATGGCGGCCCCAAATGCTGACCTTGAGCTATAGTGTGTTGTAGATTATGTAGGTGTTTTATAGGTTATATAAAAAAAAGAAATTTAGATTCGCCCATGGCCATCGCTGTGCCTCCCAAAGAAAATTTTTATAAATGCTCCATCCAATCGTGATTGCTTATTTTTGTGACGTTAAGCAGTTGAGAAGTCATCGCGGCGTTGCTAAGGAGAGAAACTTGGGGAGGCGCAAATTCACGCTGTGATGGACCGCTGTTTTCTACTCGAACATGTCAATCGCTGCTAATGGACAGTGAGAGACAATACTCCAATTGGACGCAGAGACTCGCAGTGTGCTTTTAGTTAACGCGCAGGCTGCAAATTCTTATTGTTCAACAACGCTCAGGCGAAATCTCCCATTGACACTACCTTGGAGGTCAAGACAGGCCCCGGAAACTCGGCGCTAGTTTCACTTTTAAAGAACATGCACGCTCGTATTGGTTGCCGGGCATCCTATATAAGATCCGGTTGAACGGAGTGAGGTTATGTAAATGTTTGCATTTATTGGCTTTTAGAAGTAAATGAAAAATTTGGCAACCTGTAAAGAACTTCTCTTTTGTTTATGTCTCTTCTTGTTCCTCATTTCGCGAATTTTAAATTAGGCGAAGAGTGGGAAGTGATCGACTTGCGTTCGTAGCGCTTGCCTCCGCTCCTTCTCGCTCAGCGATATTAGAAGTTGGATCGCGCTCACTTATCTCGCTCGGTGGGCGTGTCAACTACGGGAAAGATAAATACAGCACGTTGTGGCGGGCGCGCAGAGAACGGAAGCTGCAGTAAGCTACGCCGAACAAGTCAACTGATGCATTCGTCGAAAATGGCTCCATCGGGCAACATATGTGCTCTGCGGTGTGCTAACCCGGGAATTTCTAGTTCCGCGATGGTTTTTCAGCGTTTCCTAAAGGCAACGGGTGAGCACAAGAATTTGGACCTATTATTTGAGCAGGTATCCATTTTGCATGGGTACATATATGAGTGAACCCAGTTCTCTGCAAGCTGGACTAGACTTACAGAAGTGCAGTGTCCCTTGACTGATTGGTAATGAAGGCAGCCGAAGCTCCTGTCCGGAAAATGCGTTTATTGAAGGGCTTAAATTCAAGTTGGCTCGGCTACATAGCTTTAGTTTCTTTTACTTTCGGTGAGTAGTTCAAGCGATGTCAAGTATTATAGGGCTCATTAATTCTTGTAGCCGCGTTTTCAAAACTTGCGAGTCTTTAATTCTCACAGTGTTACAAATACACGTGATGATCTAAATGCTTCTAAAGATTACTACAGAGAATCTCGACGGAGCCAACGTGTTTTGACAAGTGAACTTTTCATCGTCGAGGAAACGCTGTAGCCCTGACAAAGAAAAAATAACTTGCCGAAGAACGGTTTGTTTCCAGCGACGTTATTTCTCGAAAAATGTCTGATCGCTTGAAGTTTCTCCGTGTTTCTGAACTTCAGTCTCGTTTGGTACTCAAGTTCTTTAAGTAAACTATGCGCGCCGTCATTACAAACGTGACTGATTCAAATACGACGTGTCCTACTCACGATTGTTCTTCGCATTGCTTCGGATATCCTAGGTTCAACGTTCGCTCATTATGTCATATGTCAGTTGTAAATTAATGCTGCTTTTATAGATTGATACTTTCACACTACGTGTGTCGGCTTTTTATACAAAATGTGCACTAAATGTTCTTTTTTTTTTGTGCTGATTGTGTTTGGCCTAACCGAAAAATCAGTCCCCCTCCTCCAGAAAATTTTAAATTTTGCATCATCTATCTCTAGCCAGACTTCAAGAACATGCCGACGCACCTTAAGACCACGTAACCAAAATGAGGTTGCTGACTAATGCCTACAGCACGTTACACATTGTGTTCTTCCTCATTCAATAATCAGCCGTGTTTATTTCAATAAATCTTTAACCTATGAAGCTGGACAAGAAATTTCACTGCGAAAAAAGTTCCAGACCAGTTCGCTGAACATCCAGTTGGACAGTTTCTAACATTTTATGTGCTTTAGCGCTTTTCAGCTTATTGCAGATGCCCGCGACATACAAAAACATACCACGTGAGATGCCCGCTCGCGCTCCTATGCGCGCCATGATTAAGTGCTCCCTAACTCCTTGTTATAGTGAGCTAGAACCGTTGGTTCTAGTTAACTATACTTATAGGGATAATACATACTTCCTTCGCGCGGGCCGGATCATGAAATCGATAAGCAGACGCGGTGGTTATCGCTTGTGTTGCCGCTAGCAAAATGTGACTCGTGGCACAGCTCTTTCAAGGCAGCACACTTGGCCAAAATATTGTGTTCACGCGGAAAGTTAGTGCTCGAGCACTGCAATATGGCGCCAAAGCGGGTAGCAGCCCGCTTTGGCGCCATTCTTTGTCGTATTCGGCGTTGCCGTCTCATCTACGGAACGCAGGCCCGCTCGCATGGAGCCCGCATGCATAACATAGACACTGTAGCACAGCCATGTATAGCAAGGTGGCGGGAAAGGAAAGTGAAGGCAAGGAGAGATATGCTATCATCGTGCCCTGCCATCTCACACCACCGCTTGTCGTCAAGCAGGCAAAACCGTTGTAGTGTATAGCAAGGGGGTGGGAAAGGATAATGAGGATGAGAAGGAAAAGAAGGAAGGGAGAGGGTAAAGGAAATCATAGCCATACCATATGTGTAGATAGCCCGTCTATTGCATAGGAATGTGTAACAAAGGGGTAAGGAAGGCAATTGAAAGCGAGGAGGATGATGAAAGGTGAACCATAGCGTTGTATAGCATAGCTATGTGTAGTATAGTTTAGCGAGGGGAAGGATGAGACGAGGAGGATAAAACATAGCTGTGCGTAGTATAGTAGAGCAAGGGCGTGCGAAACGGCTTTTGATTGATATGTGGGGTTTAACGTCCCAAAACCACAATATGATAATAAGAGATGCTGTAGTGGAGGGCTCCGGAAATTTCGACCACCTGGGGTTCTTTAACGTGCACCCAAATCTGAGCACACGGGTCTACAGAATTTCCAGCCTCCATCGGAAGTGCAGCCGCCACAGCCAGGATTTAATCCCGCGACCTGCGGGTCAGCAGCCGAGTACATTAACCACTAGACCCCCGCGGCGTGACTGCGTTGCCGCAATAACGGGGCAAAGCCACGTGGTCGGGCCCCTATTTCAAGGCACCGCTGGCTCTCGCAATCTTTTCAGCCCTCCTGACAAGCCTCAGTTGATCCTCAAGAACAGGGCTGGACAGCTTTGCCTCCCACCTTTCTCTGCGGTTACCCCTTCCTGTTTTTCGGTGTGTGTCGTACATTCCCACGTGATGCGGTAGGGCGTCGGTGTGCTTCCACACCACGGACATATGTCTCTGTATGCTGTGGCGTAGTACGCATGTAATCTGTGGATGTTTATGTATGTGTTAGTGTGAAGTCGGCGTAACGTCGCAGAATCCATGACCGAAAGGTTCTTGTGTGGTGCTGGGTGATGTCTCCACAAATCTCTGTAATATTGCAGGATCTCTTTGTAACTGGTATCGATGGGTGTCGAATCATCCACGGTGTTGCCCAACGTTAGTAATGTTGGTTTTGCCATCGACCGCTCGGTAATTAGTGATACCTCGAGCCGCCTCATCTGCATAGAAGATCCCAGTAACACCCTCGTGTCTCGGGGCCTCATGCTATTGTCTGGGTATAGCTTATGTCCAGCTCTCTGCTACGTTGGGTAAGCATTCGGTGTGCCTTGGCGCCGATTTTTAGGGGCGAATCTCCTTATAGCAGCACTTGTTCGTCCCTCGTAGTCGTAGTAGTAGTCGTAGTGTGTAACCAGTCTTACATTTTGACCTCCAAGGTGGTGCTGGTAAGAGATTTCTTCTGTGCGTTGTTGAACAATAAAAAATTCACAGCATGCGCGTCAACTATAAGCCGAATTCTCCTGTCTCTCGTTCCCCCTTAGCAGCCATAGACATCTACATTGAGCACTATCTAACAAGAAAGGGTTGCTACTTTGTACTCGCTGGGCATAACCTTCTTGGTTTTAGAAAGGTTTAGCGAGCGTTGGGCCACAGTGCCATGAATACAGCGAACTAGTATATACCATGAACTCGAGGTGGTTAAAGGTGGGAAGTAGACACGAAGCGCAAGCCGTAAGAAAGTGTGCGTGTGCCACCACTCGATTAGTCCTTGGAATGTCCACTGGATGGCGGTGCATATGCGGAATATATGATGAAAAGATGCGAGATGGTGGTACGAGTGTTGAATAGATGGACGAACGGACACACCGACAGATGCATGGACGGACTCACGGATGGCTGCACCGAACGGATGGACGGACGCAGGAACGGATGCACGGACGAACGCAGGGACGTACGCACACATGGACGCACGAACAAACGCACGCACGGATGAGCGAATGGACGCACGGACGGTCACACAGACCGATGCATGGACGGATGGAAGCAAGAACGAATGGACGGACGAATGCTTTGCCCCACTCTCCATCATTCACTCCGTGGATATGCTGCCATTTTTTCTTTGTGATAATTTCTACATGCGGCCAAAGAATCTGTGATAATAGTCGGCGGAGCGTTGCCCTCCGTGCCTTTTCTAATTCTATTCTGCTTCTACGATGGCTGCTTGAGAAACCGAAGCACAGGGCGTGATCTTAGCTGTTCTGTTTAGGACAACCGCAAACATATCTTCTGCGTCGGCCCAGTATTGTGAAGCATCCGCGAATCTCGCAGCATTGAAGAACTTTGTTGCTTTGTCGATATATGCTGCTCGAGCTTTTCTCGTGTAATGTGGGATCCATGCCTTCTGGTTTTGGTGATACTCCATACAAATCTCTGATATGGCAGGGTAGCTCCTTGGACTTTTCGTGTGTGTGTATACACCAAGAACTTCATGAAAAATTGTGCGCCGTACTACATAGGCTAGGTTAGAAACACCCGTTTGATGGCATCGTCGTAGAGTCCGTCGGAATGTTTTTAAGCTCAGGCTTTAGGTAGCTGATGCATCGTGAATATAGGTACACACATACAAACATGCGCATAAACATAGATAAAGGGTGGTTCGACTCTTCTCTGCTCACAAACATTTCTGGCTACGCCCCCGCCGAAGACTTTCTACTTATGTTCTACATGCAGACGTTTGCCACGCATTGATAAAAGCCGGAGTGCAGCTAACACAGCTGTATTAGCGACGCGAAAAGCTGCACATTTCGATAGAATAAGGCTTTAAAAGAACACCAGAAATACGAGAGGAAGAACATTAGATAAACAGAGAAAAAACATTCGAGGAAACATTCGAGACGAGCGTTGCTCTTTTCGTGTACCTCATCGGAATGTGATTTCCGTTCGTGTTTTTTTTTTTGTGCACGTAAAGTTCCGCCAAAGCAAGGAGGTGCACATTCTCTAACTTTAGTTTTTCTGTAGAAAATTGACGTTTTGCGTGAGCATGGTTAAGTGCGTTGTCTGGACCGTGCAACAGTTTGGCACCACTGAAAAACTTCATATATTAACAGAAAATAATAAGTGGTCGTTTTAGGCACAATAGTGTACGTACAAAGTCTCTTTACGTCAGAGCATTTTTGAACAAATGCGTTCTTTATCCACATATTGGATTAAGCCGTTGCTAAACATGGTGGACCGTCACTTCGCCATTCTTATAAATAATACGTGACAGAACTGCAACATGATTGTGAGACAGGCCTTAGCGGAGGGTTCCGGAACTGTCTACCATCTCGTGTTTTTCAACGAGCACTGGCATCGTGCACAGTTGAATCATCTCTGGCACTTCGCCTTCATCGAAATGCGAACGGCCACAAGAGAACCCGGAGACTTTGATTCGATAGCAGCTCGCCGTATAACCGCTGCATGCCACTGCGGTTGATCTCGAACATTCTTGGTGCTCAGTAATAATAAATACGTGCAGGCTAATAAGCAATCAGCCTCTATTTCGAGCTTTGAAGCTGGGGAATTCGTGTTGTCGTCGAAACGAAAAGGTACCGCAGTTCATTCAGCGACATACGCGTCTTGACGAGTTGCAAAGCAGTTTACAACAGTGTACATTGCAATACTCCTTTGACAGCCGAAGTGTCGCTTACGTCTAGGGCTTTATAATTGCCATGAAACGTGGACAAATGAGCTCCCTGTGTTAAAGCTCATCTTAATTCAAGCTCCCCCACTTGGATCTTGACGACGGCACTCGAACTCAGCTTCTAACTTGTCACATAAAACTGGGGTATACTTTCAGGAGGTCTTGCGTTGAATGACCGCCATTAACATCCCCTCGATCAACCTCGTCTCAAATTCATCTTGCTGAGGTTGGGGCTGGGTCCTCGAATTGAGCTTTATTTCTGGGATTCGATGCTGCATATTCAACGTCAATTTCTCTAGCTGAACGTAAGCCTACCTAATTATGATCTTATGGCCGATTGCTTTAACTAATCGAAAATCGTATAACGTTTGGATAACAAGGCTGTTAAACCGCTAGAAAGTGTTAACTCGGGTAAAGGCATTCTATAGCTTACGTATAAACTAAATCTCCATGTAACGCATACCTATATATAGTTAAAGAACGAGAAATTTGAGAAACACAATCTGATTAAGTTCAAAGGCGCAAATACACACATAAAATATGAGAAGTCTTGGACATGCATCACTGTTTTAAACAGTAATGATGAAGAAGACGCAAATACGAATGGATCAATTGCTGACATTGGGGCGATGAAGTTTCAGCTCGAGGTCGGCCACAGAGAATATGTAGAGCTCATCTGAGAGCTCATCTCGATGTAGAGCTCATCAACTAATTCGCACGTCAAGTCCGGGTGAACATTTTCGACCTCGCTAACAGCATTCCCAGAAGTCGCCTACAACGTCTCATTTCGTGAGGTTGAGACAACCTATATACGTTATTTTGTTCTCAGGATGTCGGAGTCCCATTTGAACACACACACACACACACACACACACACACACACACACACACACACACACACACACACACACACACACACACACACACACACACACACACTGCGTGTGTGTTCAAGGTCTGTAATGTAGTCATGCAGTGTCTGTAGTTCAGTCAGTAAGTTGAGTAATTCAAGGTTTAGAGCTTAGTTATGCGTGTTTGTATATATGTATTTGCTTGCGTCGATTAATTATCGAATTATTGAAATGCTTGATTCGGCTCTCGAGCAGGGCATTCGTGTATTGGGCGGTGAACACGAGGTACACATTGGTCGGAGATAATGAAGCTACGAGACATATTCGTGAATATGCCGCGGCTATCGCAGCTGATAAAATGCAGGAATTTACGTCTACAGCCACCCTCTTTTCGAAGCTCCGAGAATTAAGTGACACCCTCGACATATTAAGATATGCAGATGCTTGTCGGCTGTGCACCCCCGACAACGACTGTCGGTGCTCTTCAATGTAGAGCGAACGTACGCCACACCTTTCGGAATTCCGGTTTCGCGTCCGGAATCGTTCAGGGGAAGATAGGAGAACAATGCGAGCAAGTGGCGGCGTGCATCAGCGCAGAGCTTTTCTTAAACAGGGGCAACAAATCCGGCTTTTATGAAGATACGTTCGCTTCCCCTGACGTCAAGGCACCGAAGTTGTACTCTTCGAGATCACGCCGACAAACCCGGTGCAACGTGCCTCGCGAGCTGTCTGCCCGGATCGTCGCGAAACCTTTGTCATATGCACATACGCGCCGGTATCCGCGAGTTGCGCGCCGTGGCGGTGGTCTTCCTGCGGTCTGAGGCAACGCCGGAGAAGTCGCTCGCCGTGGTTGCGGTATCTGGCTTCCGAGGAAGCCACCCGGGTCTTCTTCTCTCCAGGAGCTGCGCTTCCGGCCGTTTCTCGAGGCTCACGTACACCGTCGATCAGGCCTAGTCCAGGATATCACGACGCCGGCAGCGGCGACGGGCATATCCGTGGCGGATGATGTGCCTTATATCTCCGCCATCTCGTCCGTCACAGTGTTTCTTTCACGGCGAGCGGCCGCAGTCCGTTGACAGGGACCGACCAGAGGCGGCTATCTTTGGGGACCCGTCGCCGTTGGCCGGTTGACGACGCGACTCGGGTTGCAGCGTCGGCGCGGTTCGAGCTTTGCGAAAGATACTACAGTCGCCGTTCCGTGGTGGCATGAGGACGCGACGGTAGCCGCTGCATTGCGTGGGCTTTTGGTCATCGCGTTCTTTTTCGTAGCCCCCGAGAAATCGAACAGGCAGGGATGTTCGCACCCTGCGGCCGGACGTGCCTTTGCTGGCTCCTGCTCGTGTGGCCGCTTCTGGGGGTGCTCGCCGAAGAGAAGTACCGGTTTTTCAGGTAAGTAGCTGTGGTGGGGGGAATCGCTCATAGTTTCGGAATCTAGTAACACAGCTGCAAGTGAATGACAGATTATTTCTCATTTGCCGTCGATCTAGGAGTTCCACGGGAACACAGAAAAGATACGTAAAAACAAATGCCATTTTTTTTTCATCTGTATACGCTCTCGAATATTTTCTGGAATGACGATTTGATTTTGGTATTTGCGTGATTTCCGACCAAGCCACGTGTTTGTACATCACAACAGTTGCCGCAGAAATAGAGTAACTGAGCGGGTGAGTGCGTAGCTGTGAGTAATTATAGACGTATCGATGTATGGCTATTCAGAGTTTGTCACCACAGTTCAGTATACTGTCAGGCACTGCGTGATTGTAGAGGTAACTCTCTGAGCCTCAACTTTTGGACTGAACCAAGCATATTGTAGCCATGCCGATTATTTTTTTTCTTAGCCGAGAGAAATGCGCGAAAAAAAAGCATATTTGCATTTTGTTAAGACTTACATAGTGTGCACATGCTCTACGCGGCTAGCACGTTTAGAAAGAAAAAAAAAACTTGGCACTTTAGCAATAAAATTTATAACAATCATTTATCTATGTAAATATCATTGAAGTTGTTCTTCCTATTTTTCAGGAAAACTGCCAAGGGCCTACGTGACGGTAAGTCTCCAAAGCTCAGCAGGCGTGATCATCAAAGCTCAAACACCGTTAAAATATTATGTATCTTTTTGTATCTTTTGATCATTCGCACCTGATATTAAGGCGTGTTGCAGTTTACGCCGAATACTCAATTGGTACTGAAAGGGCATGCCATGCTTTCATAGCCTCACCAGTTTACATACATATTTGCCGATTTATTTGCTGGTGGGCTGCGGAAACATCACGACACCTCTCGCTGTAGCTGCAGTTGCGTCTGGGAGAAGCGCGACACGAACCAGTCTCAGTGATATCCTGCAGCCCACTCTAGAGAGAATAGCTTGCACATCTATGAGTTTTAATGGTGTCGCACCTTCGATGATTGCTTAAGTCTCGATGCATAGCTTGGAACCCCGTGTGGCTGGTTGTGGACCCTTGACCCAAAAACCCGATGTTTCTCACTGGTCCACGTCTATTGCGCGGTTGTATTTTCATAAATAATCATGACTGTACACAAAGCGGGAGTCTACGTAACTTAATATCAGAACGATTGATCATTATAATGGACATTTGTCTATGTTAACTGCAAGAGGAAGGACTCTTCAAGCAATCTCCTATTACTTCTTTCGTGCTGTTGCCGACTCGCAATTGCGTCTACATATTCCTCAATTTTCTTTTATTGTTTTTTTTAAATATTTAACCCCAATGCCCAGTTCTCTGTTGTCTTTGACAGTGTTTCTCCTTGTCTGCCACCACTTTTCTACGACCTATCCCGCCAACTGCAACAACAAAAACAAACAAACAAATAAAACAAAAAGATTGTCGGTTTAAATTAGGTACTCCTTAAAAAAAAGCCTGGTAGCCTAAATTAACACAGAGCACTGCGGCGTGCCTCTAACTATGCCACAGCTTTGGCCCATGTAACTGTATAACTTAATTTCTTTCTTTCCTATAGACATTGCGTGGCTGCCCAGCTAAATTATGTTACACGTGGACGGGCACATCGTTTCAGCAGCCTCCCTCTTTTTCCCACCTAGTCTATGCTGTCAAAATGCGTGCGCCCCAACTGTGGCAACTGTAACATATAGGAATTTGGTTGTGACAACTTTTATATTTGTGGTTAAGCGTATGTGAGCACTAACGTCTGAGCACCCGTCCTTTTGTACTGATCTAACTGCGCGCTTGTCTTTGTATTGTAAACAAAGCTGCTACAAGCTGCTATATACAAGCTGCACTGCTGGTTAGCAGTACAGTTTTACTGAGCAAGTCTAAGGTTACACTGACCAGGAAGGTTATTGAAGCTTGACAGATTAGTGGGCAATCAACAATGTGCACCAGTGCTTCCTCTTGAGGACTTACAGATAAAGTAAGAGACTTTCTCTATATTTAAAACAACAGTCATTAGCCACTTCTCATAAAAAAAAAAGGTTCTTTCGCTGCTCGCTTTGCTCCTGCGTGAAAGCACCTTGCGTCATGTATGTCTAGACGTACGCTAATTCACTCTGTACTTTGTGACGTTCAAAGAAACATCATATGGGAACTGATAGTCTTCTCCCTTCCTTTCCTTGCCTGCCATCTGTGTGCTCACACAACTACACAATTGTTTTCTTATTGCTGTCGTGCAGAGATAGAAGAGACCTGCAGCCAGCCGTGCCAGAACGGGGGCAAATGCTACAAGGAACGATGTGCATGCACGCCCGGTTTCCGTGGACAGTACTGCGAATATCGTAAGTATACGCAACTCGAATGAGACTGGATGCGACCAGTTCTTCTGCGTGCGCGTAAATGTGCGCTTTTAGACGTCGCACGACGCCGAGCAGATGACTACTCGATTTACTTATCTACAGCTTGTATTCGATGAGAAAAGAGGAGTATATCTTAAATGTAGAGGGGCACTTTAGGGAGCCGGGACGCGTCGTACGTTGTGGTCGTATGCTGTCGTTGTCGCTCGGCGTAACGCAGGCAGAACCACGTACAGGAACATAAACAAGAGGAAGCAAGCGAGAAATTGAAAGAGAGGAAGAAGGTTAAAACATAAAAAAGTACAAGTAAATAGAAATAAAAAGAAAATAACACAAAAAAACTCGAAAAAACAACAAAGAAGAAGAGGAGGAAAGAAAAAGACAACCGAAGAGAAACAAGGAAGGCTGACCAGCTTACCACTTCTTTCAGGCTTGGCACCCCCGTAAGGGCGAAGTTTCCTTAATTTTTCGGTGCATGTCGTTCTCCTCATATCGCGTATCTCCCTACAATATATGTACTACAGGGAGCAGTGGTGCGGCAATCGTTCAGGCGCCCCGGAAACAGCGGTTATACGGGTTCACCTAATCTAGTGGATCCCTTGACTAGGGGCCCCACCCATCTGCTTCGAACTCTTTATTTAATTTTTTTCTTCTGTAATAAACGTTTTTTTTTTTTTGTCATCCGTTCATTTCTCTTGCGGCTTCGAACGCACTTGTAGTTTTGTTTATTGTGTTTTGGATTTCGCTCGGCATGAAAACGGTTGCGAACCTCGTGGGCTGATTTGAATTGGCCAGCCCGAAAGGGTCAGTGTGGTGAAGTGGGATTGCTGAATTTTCGCTGAACTTCGACTTGCGACAAACCGGCTGCGTGCCACGCAGCCCCCCCCCCCCCCCTACCCCCTCTAAAAATGACCAATAACGAAAAGGAGAGAGAAAGAGAGACAAAAACGAAGTTTTGTCAAAACAATGGGCTGCCCATCACTCCCGTGCTGATTATAAGGCGTCATGTATTGCGGCTTCTATGGACACTAGCGCCAGGTTTCTCCCGAGTGTATTGTTGTGAATATCTGTGGTGGTCATTCCTGACATTTTACTGGTATAAAACTCAAGTGTCATTTATCTTCCTAAATAGAATTACAGGAAGCTTTTGATTTCATTTTATGCTATCGTAGAACGAAAGTAATAGAAGAAGCATAGCTGCCCCGAACGCTACCGATAAGTAATATGAAAATTACTTCGGCAGAAACAATGCGAAATGCGTGGATTGAGGCAGTTATGATATAATATTGCTGCTTCTCTGACTAACTAAATGAACTTCTGTGTGAGAAATCACAAACCAGCCAGAAATCTCGGTAATTTCGCACACCTATTGTAAGTGAGGGAATAAAAGAGAATATTGGCAAGAGTCGAATCAAAGACTGACACGTTTCCGATTCATTCGGCGTTTCACGTTACAAAACCGAGCAGTCTACCGTCTGCTCTCTTTGTGGTAATGTTCATTTGTACAGAAATCAACTTACGAAAAAAAAAGAACTACTTTTTTTTCGGAACGAAAGCGCTCACGTATACATATGTATGTTGCGTGTCATATACTTCATGTGACTTCGTAAGGCGGACAACTCTACATGCGGGACCGAAGAGACAATCGAACTCCTTCTGTGCTGCTGCGCTCGCTATGGCACCCAGAGATTCCCGATCCGGATGCTCTTGAACCAATCGGACTTCAGACCGCTTTATGTAGATAAGAATTTAGGACCTTGTACGCGTGCTGCGAAGGCGTAGAAAGCAACTAAAGCGTCACTGAAATACGTAAAATCAACGCATCTGAGGGACCGGCTGCAGACTGGATGTGCTTCCCCCTGGTGTTCGGTGATTATGTGCATCTTTCTTTCATCTCTTCTTCTATCTCTTTCCCTCCCTCCTTTAACCCTCTCCCAGTGCCGGGTAGCAAACCAATCGTGCGTCCTGTTAACCTCCTCGCCTTTCCCTGCTTCTCTTTCTCAACTTCTATGATTGCTTGCGTGAGATACCGAGCTTATTTATATCTTTGAACAGCACAGATTCGCTGGCCTACCAATGACTATGATGTGCAACATGTGCGAGCAGTCTGTCAGCTCATGAGTATTCTGTAGACTCTTTCGGCAAAGTTACCTTTATTATCTTCGGCGTTGATTGCATAGTAAGCATGGGCATCTATGCCCATACCATTTTTATTCGGTGAATTATTAAGAACGGCAGTTCCTTACACGCAGACTGTGAAAGTACTTTTAGATAACGCTGAGGAAAGCACTGATTCATCTTACCTTATATGACACTCAATAAATTTCTTTGGAATTATCAATTAATTGCATTGTCTGTCGTAGCATGACGTCCTGATGTTATAACACTCCGTGATTGATGGTGTCAATAGCAACGTCACGGGACGTTTTGCTCGGATGGTATACGGCCGACTACGAAGACTAAATTTTCTTACTCAGTATGCATTAGGCTTTCCACTTATAGACTGTTGCCCATTTGAAGCACGTTCCTTCTTGCGCAGCCCTTTCGCTGTGTGACCTGCAGAGGGCTGGCTTCCACGGGACGTCCCAGTGCAACCACACGCGGCTGGCCAGCACCTGTGTGCTCGAGTGCAACCGGGGACTGAAATACGAATACCTGCCGCCTACCAACGTGTACAAGTGCAGCGCGGCTGGAGAATGGTCGCCTCCCAACTTGCCCCGCTGCGTCGATGGTCAGTGCATATATTAACTGCGCTTTATTCCGTAGAGTACGGTATTTCTAAAGCGATCAGTTCTATATGGCTCTTTCGTCCGCTTTTATGGTGATCTATAGATGGCAGTTGGCATGGGCCTTGCCACCCGATAAAGAGGACCGATGCTAAGAAACACTAGTTATGGCAAAACTCGAGTTGCGGTTCGTCGTGGGACGCCCATTCTTATATTTTGCTGATACGCACGCCTCTATTTACACGATCATCGACTTTATTTTGCAACATCTTTTTTTTTTAAGTAAAGGGGTTCGTAGGTTTCATCCACCCACTGTCCCGATGTGATTTTTTTATCTAATTCAAATCCCGTATTTCCTCATATGCTGTAGGAACCAAACAGTTTTGGCTATGTGTTGACCACTGTTGGCTAATGTCTGATAATCTTAGCTATACAATAGTCTATTGGCAACATAGTTTTAATTTAATCAAAGCACAGTGATCGAGTTGCATGCCAACACAAGAGAAGCTCATCTCACAAGCATTGACGTGTTCAGTTAGTTAAACGCGAGCGTCTAAGTAGTGTTAGAGTACGTGCCTTTATTCTAACGTTTTTGTGTCGCCAATAAGAAATAAGCAAGAGTTTCTACTGATCCGATTGTCGCGCTGCTTTTCAGCGCTCAAAAGTGAATCTTGCTGTATGTTTCATTAGCCTTCTATGTTCGTTTCTTATTTTCATTTTAGAAGTTAGCAGGGAGGTGTCATTCGTACAAATTTACTTTGGTGGTAATTAGGAACCGTGCTGATGAAGATTGAGCCATGACGTTTTAATGCTTGTGGTGCGTGGATACTGACGTCAAAGTCGTAGTATCGAATCCCCACTGTAGCGGCCACATTTTTATGGAGGTGATATGTTTTAGACCCGTGTATTTAGAGTTAAGCGCAAGAATCCCTTGCGGTTGAAATTTCCGGAACCCTTCACTACAGCGTCCTTAATCACCATACCGTGGTTCCGGGGCGTAAGTTATTAAAATATTGAATTTTATTTCGCAACTGCAATAACGAATTACATTTACGGAAGAAACTTTTCTTTAATTCAACCTCACATTTTGATTTTTAAATCTTGATGGCCAGTAAGAATAACGCAATGAACTATTCTGCTATAGTATAATCAAATGCATCATGAAAGAATTAGATTCGAAGATATCATACGTGCCACTAAACACGTACAATTTCACGTAACAGGGCTGAGCTGCTCGTTGTATATACTTTGCGCATGACCATGTACGCTGAAATGCGGGTGAGGCTATTTGAAAATTCGGGTGCTTGCAGAAATGTATGATATAGAGGTGGACGACGACGAAGTGTCTCTTTCATAAAGTTATGTTTAATCTAGGTTATTATCTATTACTAATAGCAAAATCTTTCTAGTGAGTACAGATCAGTGATCATCAAATTTCATTCTAAAATTCGTCACGTTTTCAATTTGTAAGTTTCTTTACTCTAAATATGAATAACACTTTATAAGACCACTCAATTATTGGCCGATCCTCCACAGTGGCAACACAACAACAACAACAACAACAACAACAACAACAACAACGCTTGTACCCGTGTCTCAAGTTTTCGATTTCTTTTCCCGCAAATTCTGGGAGCTACCGCTCCCTCCTTGCGAGAATGGATGAAGAAGCCTCTCAGAATCTTCGCGGTGGACAACCGCTACGTCGGGCAATAGGAAACGTGGGACCACTTCAAGCAAGCGGCACAGACAGCAAGGCAGTGGAGTTGTTATACTTAGACGGCTTCGAGTCATCGGACGACGACTACACTGCCGTCATGAACCTCAATGCAAAAACGAGACTGCTACGGACATCGTCAACGGCTAGTTGATCTAACGTGCAGTCTATATCCCGCAGCGTTGGCCACACACTATACTTTTCATGGCTGTGGACCCTTCAGTCAACCTACGGCGGCTTAACAGGCAAGTCTTCTCTACATATCTCGAAGGACTCGCTCCAAATAAGATTAAAGACGTGACGATCAACTCATGGAAGAATGTTCTGGCAGTTGATGTTCTACACCGTAGTGCGCTGCAAAGCCTACAGAACATCACGGAAATCGACAGAGTCACAGTTTAATTAGTGATCCCCACTGACTGTAAGGGCAGTGTTGGCATCATTTATGACGTGGATATTTCTATTCCCGCTGACAATTTTTCTATTTTGATAAAGCCAACTGCAGACGACATCCTCATCACGCACATTGCAAGGCTCGGTCAGTCACGTTGCCTGAAGATTGTTTTTGAGGGAAACAGTCTTTCACCACACGTCAAAGTTGGCCCCGTTCGCCACCAGATCCGTCCACACATACCGAAGCCCCCACAATGCTACAGATGTTTCAAGATGGGACATGTAAAAGAAGTATGTACCAGAAATGTTGTGTGCCCGTGGTGTGCCGAACCTAATTCAGAAGACACCTACCACGCAACTGCGTTCAAATGCTCCAACTGCCACGGCGCTCATAAAGCGTCGTCTAAAGATTGCCCGTGAGTGCGAGTTGAGCGCGTGGTGCTGAAACGCATGGTGCGCGACAATTCAACGCACAGTGAAGCTGCTGCTGCTATTTTTAGGCGACGTCGGCGTCACCACAGAAGATCATCACGAAACGTGACATCTGCCGATAGAGACACGCCATCTCCCGCAAAAACAACTGGCCACCCATCATCAAGCTCTGAGAAGACGGATACACTGAAAACAAAAGCAGGGTCAACACTCTCACCTCGTAAAGAGTGGCCGTCACTTACACGAACACAGCCTGATTCAGAGGTGCATCGAATCCCGCCAACCTCGATGCCCTCACTGGACCACTGATTCGAAGACAACTGAGGATTGCCAGGTCATTAACATGTTGCAGACCCTTATGATTGCAATGCTCATGCTCCTAAGCAACATGAACACCCCGTCAGCGCAGGGCGCACTGCAGCTGCTGGACACTTTCGAGTCCGGTGCTTGCAGCTTAAGGTAAAACTACGGCCCACGACATGTTATCCTTTCGAGAGGAGGTCAAAACGCATCTGTCCTTCAGAGGAATGCCAGAGGGCTTAGGGCGCGTATGTCCGACTTCCGGCAACACGTATTCACGGACCAGTTCTGCATAATTGTGATTTGTGAACCGAACCTGTTAGCCCCCATCAAACTTTTTGGATATGAGTGCTTTATGTCTTCAACCCACGAAAATCGCAAGAAGGTCGTTGTGTTATACGGCATGACTTGACTTTTGTTCGTCACCCTGTACCCCCTGACGAAGAAAACCAGTATGTTTTCAAAAAAAAAAACAAAACAAAACAAAACAAAAACAAGAAGACCACATTCTACTTACCTCCATCAAGTCGTCTAGACCACGAGCGTTCGCGCGGGATTTTGAATTCAACTCTCCAGCCATGGGTGATAACTGGCGACTTCAAGGCCCACCACTACTTATTGGGAAGCTCTATGGTCAATACTAGAGGTAGACATTTAGTGTCTTTTGCTTCTGAACGTGAACTTATTCTCGTGAATGACGGCAGCCCTACTTATCTTCGTGGATCGGCCTATAGTAGTTGCCTGGAGTCTCACGCTCGTTCCTCAGAAGAGTGCACTGGTTTTCAGATTAGGAAACAAGGGGTAGTGACCACATCCCAACATACTTGAAGATTCACTGCTTTCCAAGTCTCAAGTCCTCCAGGGCCGTCCAGTGCACCGATTGACAAAAATACAAGTTAATAATGGAAGACTATGTTGGAGGCTTCACCCTTCAACCTAGAGGACGCAATGAAGAGTGCCCTACAGTCCACCACGCGTTAGCTTCCAGGTGAGCTCATCTCGCAGCGATATAGATATTGAAATCGAAAACCTCCGAGCGATTCGTCGTGCAGAACGACGTTATAGACGCACGAAGTAATTTGATGATCTGAGAGTGGCCAGACGCATACAAAAGAATATACAGCGTCACATGAACAAGTTCGGATAAGCGACAATGGGTATCTTTTTGCGAGTCTTTGGATCCCAGAAAGCCTCTGTCACTAATCTGGAGAACTGTCCGGGGTCTTCGTAGAACCATTACTCAGCTCTACCCATTTAAATCTATGGCACTTCATTTACGCAACGAAGAGATTGACGTCGCAGAATCCTTCTGTTGAAGGATTGCCTGCGGGGCATATTCAACTGAGACGAAGACGCCCGATTGTTCTGTATCTTCACGGGAACTCCGAATGACGCGTTCGTTTTCCACGGAAGAACTAAAGGCTGCACTTGCTTTGTGTAGGCCTTTTTCAGCGCTATGACCTGACGGCATCACTTACCGCGCTCTGTGTCACCTAGGAGATCAAGCTCGGAAGACACCCTTGCTGCTATACAATGAATCCTGGCAAACGGGCATGGTTCCACAGCAATGGAAGTCAAGTCGTCTGATTCCACTTCTCAAAGCCGGCATGTCACGTTTGGACATTTCCCCTTACAGCCCGATCGCCCTCGCGAGCTGTGTGGGAAAAGTTATGAAAAGAATGATTTTAACGCGTCTGGAATGGTACTTAGAGCTCTACGAAATATATACAGATGTCATGTCCGGGTTAAGATGAGGCCGCTTATCAATTGACAATGTAGTTGACTTGGTCACATATGTAGAGCACCAGAAGGCCTGCAAACGGTTATTTGCTGCTCTGTTTCTTCACTTTAAAGAAACTTACGACAATGCCACCCACGAAGCCATTCTCATCGCATTAGAAAGAGTAGGTCTCGGTGGCAAGATATATATGTGAGTTGAGAGCTACCTATAGGTCACGTGCAAACAAAGAGTGGCCCGACACCCGAGTATTACTGTAGCCGAGGAGTCCCGCAAGGTGGAGTGCTAAGCCCAACGATGTTCAACCTAACACTCATTGAACTAGTCGGCAAAAAACCAAGCAGCGTACGACTTTCCATTTATGCTGATTACATCTGTGTGTGGACATCAGGTGTGACTCAGCTTCAAGTTCGCGCTCGACTTCAGAAGGCAGCATTAGCGACATCGCACCACATGCGTAAACAAAGGCTCGAAATCGCAAGTGGAAAGTGTGCAGTCGTAGTTTTCACCAGAGAGCCAATGTCCGCTTACGGTATATTAATTTACGGGCAAATGGTGTCATGCAGCCGCAGTCACAGCTTCTTGGGGGTGTTAGGACCGGCGCCAGGTCTGACAATGGATCGGCGTTCCTTTTGATGTTCCTTTTGAGTCGCCAAACGGGTTGGCGGCCTGTGTCCGCCATGTATTGTTCCCACCTGGCCGGAGGGTGCGGCGTCCTGCCGCCGCGGCGCCGTGAGCAGTTCGGGAGACCACCGGTGCAGCTTCTTCTTTGGAAGATGACGGCGGCGGCGGGCCGGGAATCGTCCCGCTAATTGAACGAATCGTTCGGCACCATTTGAAGCTTGTTTACGGCGGCCCTTTCGATGGATGCAGTCATCAACTTCAGACCCCTCGCCCAGCGACACACCTTGACGGGGGGGGAGCCGCGTTCGTGCCACATGGCCGTGCGGTGACCACGCTTCAGTTTTGAACGTTCGCGTGGACCGTGCGTGCTCGTCACCCTCGCGGGTAATGTGTGGTCCGTGATTGGACGGTGCCCTCTGTACGCGGTCCCCGATCTAGGGATCTGGGGAGGACAGACCCTTTATAATGAGCCCCCACGGCTCATTCGGTGTGCTTTTTCGAGTGGAGAGCTCGCCATGTACGAAGAACGCCACTATATATCTAAACTTTCTTATTGACCTCTCTCTAATGTAAATAAACGTCTGTTCTCTGTTTTCCCATATAAGCATTGCTTCTCGCTATAAGGGACGAGTCCGATGGGAGCCAGCTACCAACGACGAGACCCACAGGACTCAGGTCCCAACAGGGGTCATAATCGACCGAAACCTGTCTTGGACCCCACACGTAAACTACATGAAAAAGCGGCTGACCGCCATTTGTCATTTGTTCAGTTTCCTTGTCGAAAAAAGTTGGGGAGTGTCTGTTGAGTCTATGTTACAGCTGTACATGGTATTATTTATTGGATTCCTGTGGTACAGCCAACCTGTTATATCTAACACGTGGAAAACTAACCTGCGCACACTTCAAAATATTCAAGCCCAGGTTTTTAGGATATGACTTGGTTCTCCACGGTGTGCATCGATGGCTGAAACCATTGCCATTGCACAGGACTACTCGATCATGACGCACATCACCATTGAAAAGATGCGTACGTACTTCAGGTAACATGCTAGGAATCCTTCGCCCCACTTGGCAACTCTCGCTACTGAGAGGCTCCACACGAAATTTAGTGCAATTGTCGGTGCGCACCGTGAATCTTTTAGGTAAGGTTTTACGCCTGCGTAGAAATTGGTGTATTCTCCGTGGTGCCTGACACTACCGTAAGCACGTATTTCAATTCCAGGAATACAAAAAAAATCAAATTTGCCTTCGTCAGCCCTAAAACAAACGAGCTTACACCTTTTGCACGAAATGTACAATAACCACGTGCACATATACACCTATGGTTCAACCACAGCGTCTGGTTTTGGTGGTGCGGTGGTAATTCCAGCTAGAGGAATCACTCTGCAAATCGAGCTGTCACACTTCACTACGTCTAGCGGCGGCAGAACTTAGGGATTTGCGTGGTGCCCTAGAGTATATAAAATTCCAGAAACAGAGTAAATGGGCTGTGTTTCCCAAATCAAAACCTTCCCTACAGAGCATGCAGTCAGTCCTTCGACGAGGTTTCCACGGACAGTTGACATACGAAGTTGTCAAGCTTCTTCACCACGTCACAGAAAAAGGCCACGAGGTCAATTTTCAGTGGCTACCTGGTCATGGTGTGATCAGTGGCAATGATTCCACAGGAAACGCGACTCGCACATCCATCAAGAAGAGCACACCCTTCCGATTGCTTTGTCAGGACAGACGCTGCAAAGCAATTTCGTCACCTGGCACGTAGTCTGGTGTCTGTTAGAGTGGAACACCCAAAGCACAAGACATACAAGACTCTACCAAATAAACACTCGACTGGAACTTCGACCTCCATCCAGACTTCGTCGACGTGAAGTTGCGCTTCTTTGTCGCATTTGGTTGGGGGTTGCCTTCGCAAAAGGACATACAACCCTCATTGGATTGACTGACAATGCGGAATGTGACGTCTGCGCCACCGAAGAAGACATCAGCCATCTGCTATGCCTTTGCCCTCGATTTCCTTCTAAAAGACAGAAGATTTCTGATATATTGCGACAATTGGACGATCGGCCACTCTCTATGCAGTGTTATGAATTTGCTCTGTCGCGATGGTAGCGGTGGCGAAGAGCGGCGAGCCGTCGAGCGGACTTCGATGAAGCCTTAGCCCGAAGGTGAAACAGGGAGGCACTCCGTTTGGAAAACAGCAACAAAAGGAGCGTTTACTGTAGCAGGTTGTCGTTTGTACAGGGCCGGCCAGCACGACAACGTCGGCTGGGGCAAAATCTCCTAACATGGGGCCGGCTCGGCCTTAAATAGCGTCTTTGGTCCATTCTCTCAGACCAGTTCCCGGGCTCGGAGGGGGAGACGTAGCCATACCCGGAACTGCAAAGTGGTTCGGCGGAGGAAACGACTTATCCCCGGACTGCACGTTCTCCTGCACAGAAGGCGGCGCTGGGAGGGGGGGGGGGGGCAGACAGTTCGTCGAAAACAGGGCTCGATCTTGTGAGACGTGCTCCCGAACGAGGAACATGTCTGTGGCACAACAGCACCCCCGCCGCCAGACAATGCATCCGGAGTTTTGAGCCGTCAGTGCGGCTCGGAAGGAGGGATGCTGGTTGACCATCGGTAGCCGTTCCGCTCTCTCCGCCCGTTGAGACTTCCATAGGCCTGCAGAGGTTCACTGGAACGACGGAGTCGAACACAAAGGCGAACCACTCCGGCCAAAGCAAGCAACCTCCAAATGCTGATCAAGTCGCCAGACCAGCAGACACCAAAATGTTTCCTCGAGATTACGCTGGGCTAA